TTACCTTCAGGGATTCCTCTCAATGGGATACACAGGTGGAAACCTTACATAGTCCATCTCCTGACTAGGACTAGTGCATATAGCTAGCATCAAGGTTTCACCTGCCCATCTGGAGAGCCTTTGCGCCAAGAGACGGCACCACTGGAAACATGCAACAGAAGTATAAAGACACTTCACATGATGAGGTCAACCCCACACCAGCCTTTCCTGAACTGGTGCAGATAGACTGTTGACATTTGTCAATACGCTGCTCAAAGGTGATACCATGTTGTGAGTTACAGTGGGGTGAAGGAAGAGAAAGAGAAGCGGGGTTGCGGGGAGAGAAGCATAAGGATTCTCTTCCTAGCATCTTTATCTGCTCCTCTTTGTCTCTACCTGTTGGATCTGGGAGGTGGCTGGGGGGGGGCAAATAATTATCTGCCTCTGCTGCTTGTACAGTACTGGAAATAAGAGAGGCAGTGTGGTGTAGTGGTTAAGAGCGTGGGGCTGGGACTCTGACGATCTGGGTTCTAGTCCCCACTCGGCCATGGAGCCAACTGGGTGACTTTGGGCCAGTCACAGACTCTCAGCCCAGCCTACCTCACAGGGTTGTTGTTGTGGGGATAAGATGGAGGAGGAGAATGATGTATGCTGCCTTGGGCCCTTTGTAGGAATAAGGCAGGATATAAATTTGGGGGAAAAAATAGGAAGGGAATTCAAGAGGGGCTACCTCTCAGTGGTAGAATTTAAGTTTTATTTATTCATCTATACGCATATTTATAGGCTGCCTATAACTGCTAAGCCTTTCCTAAATCGCACAAGGTCAATAGCAGGCGTCTCCCAGTTGGCAAGAATCTAGCTTGAAAGCAGCTCCAGTCTGGTTTCAATATAAGAATGTTTGTCAGATAATTCCCTTTTGCACAACCTCTTTTCCTCCCTCTTAGCAGTGGATGGGCTGAAGGGGACTTGCGAGTGGCCCGTTGTCAACCTCTCCAAAGCACGTTGACTGTGGAAACAGCACCCAGTGGCTTAGCTGATCTTTGATCTGTGGCTTTCTTGTTCCAGCTCGCTCCAAACAATACACCAAGGCCATTTTTTCCCAGATGCTACTATGGCAAATGAAGAAGATGACCCAATTATACAGGAGGTAAACAGATATGCCGTGTTCCTTTCCACATCCTTTGAACTGACCTTTACATGAATTAATGGACACTCTTTTTTTCTGGACTTAATTGAATGTCAGGTGATGCATTGCTTTTGCTGCTTGTGTGGCTGGTGAGTTACTGGTTCAGGCGGGAATCCAAGATGAAGTAGAGTAGAAGTGGTGCTTTGTGGAAAGCAGGTCATACCCTTTGTGTTCTCCGAGGATGCTGTGCCTAAGTTAATTTAGAGCAAGAGGGTTAGGCCTCTCTCAGTGCAGGCGCCAGACTCAGTTTCAGAGGCATTCCCCCCTCTCTGCATTCCAGAGGTGGGGGAGGCCAGAGAGGAAGGACTTAGCTCCAAAATACTGAAGATGCCAATATTCTGAGCGTCAAGTTCTTTCTGCAGAAAATAAGGCTTAGGAAACACCCCTCAGCCTTTCAGAACGGAGACAAAACGGTGCAAAAGCCAGGACTCCACCAATCTGTAGTATTGAGGATGGGGGACCAAGGATGTGGGGCCACTAGGGGAGCCGCAGGAGGAGAAATTGGGCCTCTAGGCCTGAGTTACCCTATCCGTGATTTAAAGGAAAAAGACGCCATTGACATATCCTCTGCTAAGCCATGGGGAGCAGTTCCAGTTTTGCTGCTAAACACAGATTTCAGGAGACAGAGCATAATGAATGAGCCTGTTGGATTCTTCTTCGTTAGGCGTGGATGTCACAAGCTTCTTGGCTTTTCCCCTCTTGCTTTCCTCTCATGGAACATGGGCATTTGAGGTTGGGACTGTCTGAAGAGTCTTCTCTGGCCAAAGGTGTTCCACCATTTGCCTTTCCTGCAGTATGTACAGGTGTTGCAATAGCCCCGTGAGCACGGATGGAGCTGCCCAGGCAATTATTAAAGCTAGCACTGCTTGTCACATGATTAGGAACATGAATAGTAGTAGTTTTAATCATGCCTGAATAGGACTTAAGGCTGCTTTAGAAAACAGTGAATAAACCCAAGATTTTAGCATAGTCATCACAAGGCACTGGGCCATCACTCTCTTCTTCCACGGCACAAAAAGCACCCAAGATGAGACTTCTTTTCTTCAGGATCAGCATGAAGTTGGTGGTTCTTTCTGCAGGCATAGCAAGGGGTTAATATAGTGCTATATTATCTGAACACGGAAGCTCAAAGGTCCCGTGAGCTGAAAATTCCTTTTCTGTGTTTACAGGTATTTATTTATTTAAGCTTTTGTATACCGTTTGTTTAGCAAAAAAGCTCTCAGAATGGTGTACAATTTAATTTAATTTCCATGAAGCAGATAAGTAAATTAAAGGGTTGTAAATCAGTGAATATGAAAGATCATTCCAGTACAAAATGTACCTGTGTAATACACAAAAGTGCATCTACATTGCGGAAACAAGTGTTAAAAAGAAGCATTTGCTGGACTGTACCATCAGCAGTTAGATGAGTTAGACAGTCCCCGATTAAAAAGATGCTGAGGCGCCCAATGGACAAAGAGTGTGTGTGTGTGTGTGTGGTGGTGGGGGGGGGGATTTTTGTGATGGGCACTCAGCCACCCAAAGTTGCTATTTGGCATTGTTAGGCTAAAAGGGTTATTGACTGGCGGGTGTGATGTTAGGATCTGTGCTTGTAGTTTGCCAAAAACAGCTGGGAGCTGAGTAGCAGAGCATTTCCAAAGCAAGCACCAGGGCTTTGGAACTGTGTTCCCTTCAGGGCAGATAAGTGAAGATGCTTTCCCCCAAAACTGCAATTTATATACACTCATCTCCTTTCCTGTTTCACATCCTGTGCTGTGGAAAGTTAATGTCTTTCTTTTTTGAAAGTTGGTGCCTTAAATACAGTTTAGTTTCTGGGGAAAAACAGGCCAGTGTGCCCAGTTCACTGCCAGAAAAGAGAGAGGGTCTATTTTTTGAGATTTTAAATGAATTTCTTGGCTTGGGAGATTACAAGGGGAGAGTCCTGCCTGTGTGTTTTCTGTGATTCCCAGGAAAGCTGTAACTTCATCAGGCATCTGTCCCAGAGGACATAAAACTTGTTTTCTGGCTGACCTACCAGTGGATAAGAACAGTGTGATGGATACCACGGACGGGGCCTTTTCACAAAGGTGGCCCCACACCTTTGGAACGCCCTGTCTCAAGAACTCCATCAAGATAACTGTGTTTCTGTAGAAAGAATGAGAAAATTGTAAATTGAATAAGATTTGTTTCACTAGGTGTAACAATGTCTTGTTTTTAGTTGTTATTTTCTAAGCGAGCCTTGGAGGGCTTTATTCTAAAGGCTGGGGTAGAAATATTTAAAATAAATATTAAAAATAACATGTCTTTTATCATCCCCTTTGCTAGATTGACGTGTACCTGGCCAAAAGTCTGTCAGAGAAACTGTATCTATTCCAGGTATGTTTTGGATTTTTTTAAAAAGAAAAATCACTGAAGTGCAAACTTTTTAAACATTAATATGAGCAACAACCTTTGTTTTTAATCATAGTATCCCATTCGCCCAGCATCCATGACGTACGATGACATGACCCATCTCTCCGCGAAGATAAAGCCAAAGCAGCAAAAAGTTGAGTATAACTTTAATCTGCCTTTAATCTGCCCTTTGCTGCAGTTTTTAATATAATATGGTGGATTTCCCCTTTGAGTTGCTGTTTTAGGTTTGTTTGTTTTTCAAGCATCGCATGGCTTAATGTATTTATCTCTGTACCATTCTATTATATGATAAATACTACAATATCTCAATTATTAATATCCTGTGGCTTTAGGTTGAATTGGAAATGGCCATTGATACTTGGAGTCCCAACTACTGTCGAAGCAAAGGGGAGCAGATCGCGCTCAACGTCGACGGCATGTGCACAGACGACACGAACACGTATTCCTCGTAAGCGTGGCCCCTTCTTCGGGTCGGGGCCCTGGGTCGTGTCTCCAGTCGCCTTGCAAAGGGTGGGATCTGTGTCTCTGCTCATATGATTGGCCAGCAGAGCGAATGACTTGACAACAGTGTGGTGTAGTGGTTATGAGCACAGGGCTGGGACTCAGGCGATCCGGGTTCTAGTCCCCACTCAGCCATGGAGCCAACTGGGTGACTTTGGGCCAGTCATAGACTCTCAGCCCAACCTACCTCACAGGGCTGTTGTTCTGGGGATAAGACCGAGAGCAGCAGGAGGAGAATGCTTTTGAGTTCTTAGAAAAGAAAAAGACAGGATATACATCTAATAAATAAAATTAAATACTGGAACTATTTCACTCCCCAGCCTCTTTTTTATTTTTAAGTATTATTGCGCTTTAAAGTATGTTTTCAGTGTAATCTAAGACTATATAGAAAACGTTGCACACTTTATTTATTTAAAACTTTTATATGCCATCCCCACATGCCTCGGCATTTCGGGACAGCTCCCAGCACATACAATTAAAAACAATAAAACAATAACAAATTTCTTAAAATTATATTAAAACAAAAACGCGACTTAACGATAAAATATTAATTTTTAAAATAGCAATTAAATAAAAAGGTTTTAACCTGACACTGAAAAGAATATAAACTTTTCAACCACTAAAACATATATGTTTGATTAAAAATCCAGTTGTCAATGCAATAATAACATTATATAAATCTCAAAATTTTGGAGGTTTCAGATGTCATCATAATTATTGGACAAAGCGATTGTAGAGCCCTAAACAGTGTCCAGAGGCATGCAGCGGTCTTGGGGTTCCCTGATCCACAGTCGGGAAAGCACTCTATCTGCGGAGAGCCAGCGTGGCATAGTGGTTAAGAGCACGGGACTGGGACCCAGATGACCTGGGTTCTAGTCCTCACTCGGCCATGGAGCCAACTGGGTGACTTTGGGCCAGTCACAGACTCTCAGCCCAACCTGCCTCACAGGGTTGTTGTTGTGGGGATAAGATGGAGGAGGAGATTGATGTAAGCTGCCTTGAGCCCTTTGAGGAAAAAGGCAGGATATAAATTGAAAAATAGAAATAGCTGGGCCGTTCTCAGCATCTCCAGATACGGCAGGGAGGGTCCCCCTCTGATGAGCCACGTTGCCCGTTCTGGGCCTAGCTAGAGCAGTGGCCGGATCTGTGTTCGGTGCTTCCTAGGCTCAGCGACTGAGAACCTGCTTTGCTTGCAGAAAATCCAAAGTTCAAACCCTAGCATCTTTCAAGTATGCCGGAAAATCTTCCCCAAATGCCAGATGTTGTCTGCCAGGTGTTAGAGAACAGAGTATTGAATCTTGGGCCTGAATCAGACCAAGTCTGGCCCCCCAAGATTTTTCTCCCCACCCTGCCCACCAGTTTGGTAGTTTCCCACCTTGTGTGTATGTTTTTTCCATTCAAAAACTTTGAACTGCCTCCTGCAAGACTGATTGATTGATTGATTGATTTATATCCTGCCTTTTTCTACAAAGGGCTCAAGGCAGCTTACATCTCCTCCTCCATCTTATCCCCACAACAACAACCCTGTGAGGCAGGTTGGGCCGAGAGTCTGTGACTGGCTCAAAGTCACCCAGTTGGCTCCATGGCTGAGCAGGGACTAGAACCCAGATCGCCTGAGTCCCAGTCCCACGCTCTTAACCACTACACCACACTGGCTCTTTATTATTATTTATTATTATTATTGGAAGTAACAGCTTTAACCTAGAGATTTTTCTTTCCTAGTATTTGAAACTGCAAATTCTGCATTTCAAAATTGTACTACTGCGGCTCTGAATGCAGAACAGATGTGTTCATGCTGCAGATGTACCATGCCTTTTTCTTTTTCTCTTGTTATGTTGCTTGTCTGTGTATAAAAGCAAATGAGTCGAAACGTAGCAGAAAAGGTTAGATTGCGATTCATTCGGTAAAGATCTTTATTTACATTTCTGTATCTCTCAGTAACCGAAGCACACCAATACGACAGGATAGGATAGGATAAAACTGCAGTTTAAAAGAAAACATAAAACTCAAATTCATTTTAATTGGAGCTCCCGTGTGTATTCACAGCAAATTGATGGACAAGCAATCGTTTTGCTCTTCACAGACGACAGGCAATGTTTCACGTTACGCTGCTGCTATCTACAGAAAAGGTAAGTTCAGTTCCCGGGTGCTCTACTGTTCCATGAAAGAGCGGTCATTTGTGTTTAAAATATCCAGGTTTCTTTTTGAAACACATTGTGTGGACTTCCAAATTCTGGACCCGGGTTGAGAGGCTGAAATATCTCCCCAGCATCCCCCTGGCCGTGCCCTTGCTTCTGGTACAGCGTTCAGGGGGTGTATTTGCCCTGCAGCTTTTGTGGGCGGGGGCTGCGGTTTGGACCAGGACCGGGGAGTCCAGCTTGGCGCTGAAGCTCACTGGCTCTCTGAGTTTCAACCTGAACTACCTCACAAGGATAAAATGGAGAGGAGGCGTATGGTCCCCCCCGCCCCCCCGGGGTTTCTGGCAGGGAAGAAAAGGCAGGATATAAATGTAACAAGGCAATCCATCCATCTCTTCCCTTCAGGTGAAATTCACCTTACACCACTCCATGGAATTCTACAAATGAGGCCAAGTTTCAGCTACTTGGATAAAGCTGATGCCAAATACCGGGAGCGAGAAGCTGCTAATGATCGTGAGTGGCACACTCTCCGCAAATATGTGAATAGCTGCTTGCCTAGATGAGTTTTAAAGGGGATTCAGCATCTCTGTGGAGAGAAAATCTATTAGTATTCGTGGAAGAGAGCATTTCGGGGACTGGTCGCTATTACGGCAATATGCTGCCTTCTGGATTGGAAGCAGTATACTGGGGAGCAACCAGTTCTGCTTGTGGGCTTCTAGCAGGGGCAGCTGAGTTAGTGGCAGTGGGGAAATAGGTTGCTGGCCTAGATAGGCAGTTGCTCTGATCCACCGAGGCCCTTCACATGCTTACTTGGCTGCTCCAGAAAATGTAAGTGGAATTGTCCTGAATTCTCTGTCTGCCCTGCTGAGAGGTACTTTTAGCTCCTATTCTCCTGCTTTTCTCATGGCAGCTGGTGATTCTTCTCAGGATGAAGCTGAAGAAGATGTCAAGCAGATCACGGTACGTGCAAAAGTTCCCTTCGACACCTGCACGGGGAGTTATGCAGCTAAACTCCCTCTTGATCCGTCATACTATTTCTCTACTTCACTTAATATTACCAACACTGGTCTGCAACAGTTGCCCAAAAGCTCAGGCAGGGGTCTTTTCCGCCCTGGCATTCTTTTAACTGGAGTCACCTGGGATTGACCCTGCAGCTTTCTGCCCTGGAAAGCATGTGCTGTGCCCCTGTTCTATGCTAGCGGTGGCTGGTGGAGTGTGAGACACGACCCCTTAAGATTCCTTGCTTAAGGAGTCGGCTCTTGCTTTTCCCTTACTGCCAGTCACACCCCCTCAACTTGCAAGGCTTGAAGGGGAGAATCACAGAACGTAGGACACAGACGCACAGGAAGCCTTCTTGCACGGAGAGAGCCTCCTGGCCATCTAGCCCTGTATGACCGACACCGACTGGCAGCTGTTCTCCAGAGTTGCAGGCAGAATTTGTTCCTAGCCTTACCTGCAGAAGCAGGGACTGAGCATGGCTCCATCCACCTGCAGAACACATCCTTTGTCCCTAAGCTACAACGCCTCCCTATGTTTGGGACTATAACCAATCCTGTCCAGATGTGTGGGCCTACAACTCCCATCAGCCCTTGCTTGCCTGGCCAGTGGTCAGCTGGGATCTAAAACATTTGATGGGTTGGGGGAAGCCGCTTTAGATAGAGAGTGGGAAAGAGTGGCTTGCCTTTGCTTTGTTTTCCTTGGGCAGCTTTGATCTTGTTGCTCGCAGGTGAGGTTCTCCCGTCCGGAGTCAGAACAGGCCCGTCAGCGTCGGGTGCAGTCCTACGAGTTCTTGCAGAAAAGGCAATCCGAGGAGCCCTGGGTCCACCTGCATTACTACGGTTTAAGGGTAAGCGTATGCTTCCACTGCAGACGTGGCTGGTTAAAGTTGCTGGATGCTGAACACGTTTTATTACAAGAGGGGATAGCAGCTAGGTCAGGATCCGCTGGTAGATTTCTGGGTGGTTTGGAGTAGATCCACAAAGATTCCAGGCTTCCTGTCTGTTAGCAGTGGGATGGGGAGCTAAGTGGACCTTTCCCCCAACCCAAATAAAGATATACGCTCCGGTGAAATGACGCGAGCTTAGGAGTGGGATTTCATGTGGAAAACGGAGGTAAACTGTGTATTCCCCGCAAAGGAGACCCTGGCCCTTCCACTGCCCCCCTCACACACTTGTGATCACCACCCCATCCTCCTGAGGGCCCCCCCAAAATTGCTTTCCCCCTGATGCAACAGCATTTTGTGGCTCCATGAGAACAAAACAGCCACGTGGCCCGGACTGTGAATTCAGTTTCTCTTGCTCTGGGCAAATGGCCAGGCTTGGGATGCTTGGATGCCGCGTGCGTGTCTTTCGCACCTGACTCCTGTTGATGGATCGCCTGAGTGCTGGTGGAAAAGTCCTTGGAAGTTCCTGGTTCACCCAATATCCAACATCCTGGTTTATCCTGTATTCTTCAGCTGGAGGACCAGGCTCTTGGGGCCTTCATTCCTGCATTGGGCAGGACCAGAGGCAGAGCAGATGGAGCCACATAAATAAAAAGGCAGAAGCATCTACAAGGCAGGGTGCGGGGACCGTGTGCCTGTCCCACACATCCTGCTCAGGACTGAGCCTGCTCGGTGGGATGCTGACTGAGCACTGTGCCTCTTCCTGGAAGGGGAGACTCAGAAATCAGGGCTGGATGAGAACCAAGGATCTGAGCTGTGCGGAGGGTTGATCGCAGCGTCGGTTTCGGTCTTCTCTGAACGATCTTTCACACGAGGCCATCTCTGGTTTTAAGAAGGCACCTGCACAAAAAATTTAAAAAGTACACACACACACACACACACACGAAATGCTGCTGCCTTTGGAAGCTACTCTTTTGTAGACCCTGAATGCCTCAGTATAGTGTTTCTTGAGGATATTGTGGGAAATGTGAATGATGGGCTGATTTGGATTACACACCAAAACGTGTGGAGAGCCAGAAGTGGGTGAACTCTGACAGGATTTCCTTCTTCCAGATGTTTAGAGAAAGGAAGATGCAAACAGCTGGGCCTTCAGTGTCTTTTGTCCTCCGAGTTGCTGCTCAAAGGAGGAAAGAGTTTGTCTCTCATCCAAGCCCAACACAAACGCACACCGCACACACACAGCAAGGCTGTGTCATTTTTGGGGAGGCTGTGAATCACTGCCGGGTGCTACCTCAGGGGAGTTGGGGATGGCCGGATCTGAACAGCTCTTGACCACAGTGTAGAAACTCACTAAGTTTGTCACGCTTTCTTGGAATCCATACCCCATCTTGGCTTTTCTTCCCTAGGACAGCCGTTCCGAACATGAACGCCAGTATTTGTTTAGTCAAGGTCATGGCATGGCTGGGAACACTGAATTAATTAAATCTCCAAGGTAAAAAAAAAATACTGCTTTTAATTCCTTGATTGGTTTTGCCGGAGTGGTCCTGAAGTCACGCCTGGAGGGTTCTTCCGTCGGGCAGAGTCTTTGTCTTGTAAAGCTGGGGGGTCACTGTGCCTGCACATCTGTTCTCCCGGGCCGTCCGGTGTCACTGAAGTCAGATGTTCAGGAGCACACCTGCGTAGGACTGTTGCAGAAATCGGGTAGATCTGTCGAGGGCTGGTCAGTGTGCCTGAAAAAGGATATTGTAAAATTGGAAAATGGGCAGAAAAGGGCAACTCGGTTGGGCAAGGATCTACAGCAGCTCCCCCATGAGGAAAGATGATGACTTCTAAGTATTTAGCGTGGCAAAAAGGAGAATCAGGACAGAGGTGTGCATGGTTAGACAGGATGTGGAGAAGGTGGACTTTTTTCTATCTCTCCCAGTTTTTGAACCCAGTGGGGTCATTCTCTGAAGCTGATTGGTGGGAGATCTCTTTGGAGAGAGAGCAAAGGAAGAACTTCCTCACATGACACACAGTTAAGCTGAGGCGTTCATTTCTGCAAGATGTGGGGAGCCAGCGTGGAGTCGTGGTTAGGTGTGGGGCTGGGACTCAGGCAGTCTGCGTTCGAGTCCCCACTCAGCCATGAAGCCCCCTGAGTGACTTTGGGCCAGTCACAGACTCAGCCCAGCCTAACTCACAGGGTTGTTGGGATGAGATTGAGAGCAGGCAAAGGAGAATGATTGAAGCTGCTTTGTGTTCTTTAAAAAAAGAAAAAGGTGGGGTATAAATCAAATAAATAAATGTAATGTTGGGTGCCACTGTGGATGGCTTTAAAAGGGGGTTGGACACTTTCATGGAGGAGAAGACTATCAGTGGCGCTAGTCCTGGTGATTATGTGCTGTCTGCAGTTTCCAAGGTGGTTTGCTCAAGCACACCAGCTACTGGGGATCATGGCTGTGGTAGCAGGGAATTAGGAGGCTGCAGTCCAACAAGGCTGGGGGGGTCCCAGGTTGGGGAGGCTGGGTCAATGCCATGCACGCACGGCTGATTTTACTTCTCTGCCTTGCGAGCGCCTGCGCCCCCATGCTTGGGTTTGGTCTAGCAGATTTTGTGTCTCTGTTCTGGAGGAAGGCAGAACGAAGCCGGTTGCTACGTGTGCAAAGCTCCCCGAGGCGAGCGCTGTGAGCGTGTGTTCTTTCTTTCTCTGCAGTGAATACTTGATGATGCTGGTACCTCCGAGCATGGAAGAAGAAAAGTAAGTCAGCTGGGGCCCAGTCCAGCTTTGCCTGGGGTAGCCAACTGGCAGCCCTCCCGATGCTCTGGCCAGGGCTTGTGGGACTAGTCAGCCAGAGAAGTCTGGAAGGCCACAAGAGTCCCATGCCCATCCTAGCCCCATAATTCCTCGGGTGCTCTTGGGAACACCTGGACAACAGCCAGGTGTTGGCACTCACCTGCCCACCATTAGAGTATTACCTTTGCGCCCCCTTTGGCAGCGGCTGCTCTGCTGCCTCCTCCGTGTGCTTGCACGCCAGGCAGAGAGCGACGGGCGTGGCTTCCCTTCCTCTTCCTCCTCTTGCCGCTGGCACCTTCGGCCAGGGCGAGAGGCAGGTGGCGGAGCAGGTCGCAGTGGGAACGGAGAGGAGCGACTCCGGGTGGGCTTCCTCAGTGTCCTTGGCAGTGCCCCGCCTTTCCTGACCTCGGCGCCAGCCCTGATTCCCTGTCCGTGTTGGTTTCCTCTCATGCAGGGACAAGCCTGTGGCCCCGAGCAACGTGCTGTCCATGGCTCAGCTGAGGACCCTTCCCCTTACCGACCAGATCAAGATCTTGATGAAAAATGGTACCTTATTTGGCATTGATTCAAGCAGTGGTGCTTTTATGAACTGCATCTTGTGGCAGAAACAGGGCAGGTGGGGTTGGTCATTTTATTTTATTATTTTATTTATTTATTTATTTAGAGGACTTCTATGCCACCCCATTTGCTGAAGCCTCGGGGCGGCTATGTGTGGTGCGGTCCTGTGCATTGCACCCTAAATTAATTAAATCTTGCATGCACTGTCCACCCGCTCTGATTAATCCATGAGAGGCCAGACTGCAGTATTGCACTAGGAAACGCCATGCGAGGAATCGTTCTTCCCACCCTATTTTGAAATCCGGTTATTTTTTCATGCATATTCCCCTCCTCCCAATCCACCTGGAGCCTTCTTCCAGCTCTGTCAGGCTACAAAAGTCATCCTGCCAACAGATTGGGAATGGTGGGAATTGGAGTCCAACACCGCTGGAGGGTTCCTGACTGCGGATGAGGCTGGCTTTAGAGTGCAGCAGAAATCTCTTAGAATGGCCCTGAGTTTCTGCTTTTCTCTTCCCTTCAGTGAAGGTCATCGCCTTTGCAAACCTGATGAGCCTCTTGGGTTCTGGGACCGATCCGACGGCAGCCTTGCGGTGCATCCAGCAGGTGGCGCTGTTGGTGCAGGGAAACTGGGTGGTGAAAAGGTAACTCAACCAGCGTCTTTTGTTCTTGATGTCATATTCTTACACGTGGGTGGTATTGTTTGTGGATAGCACACCTCAAGAGGAACCGCATGGTTGCAAACTGGGAAGGGGCACATGGGCTTTGAAACCACGACAAGGTTGAACCAGGGAGCCTCAACTAGGGAGAGTATTCCAGGTTCCTTCTGCATTTCTCCCTTTGTAGAGTTGCTTTTCTCACCCACAGAGTCTCTGTGTCACAACGGGGGAGGGTTTTTATATTCTTGCAAAGTGGCTCATATCTCTGCTGTCTGTGGGATGTAGTAGCCATCCTGGCTACCTAAGCAACCACATTCTCCCCCGGTTAGTTCCAAAGATTTGAAATACAAGGAATGATGGTGAAGAAAGAGTTCACTGCTGGGAAAGCCAGTTTTCAGGCTTCACACCAGTCGTAAGGAGGAAAATTGGGGTGCAGCAGTGGGCTCTCGCTGGTGTTCCCATTTCCTTTCTTTTTTAAAGTTAGGAAAAACTTTTCCTGGAATGTCAGGGCCTTCTGGATAGGCTTTTCTGCTAGGACGTTGCATCCCCTCTTGTGATGTTCTTTCAAGCTCAATATGCACAGGTGTCGTTATGTTTTTGCCTTGGAATTGTCTGAGAAGCTTGTGACCAGGTGCCATAGAAAAATGCTGGGGTGGCTGCATTAAGAGCCATTGGCAACTTGATGCCCTGAGACTCATCAGAAGTTTCCTTCACCCACAGTGATGTCCTCTACCCAAAGGATACCTCCAGCCCACACAGTGGAGTCCCGGCAGAAGTGCTTTGTAGGGGAAGAGATTTTGTCGTGAGTACCAAAAACCAAAACGTCAATTTTCTATTCTGCTCTCTCCACCTTGCAGACATGTCAGAAAACCAGCTCGCTCGCATGTGCTTTGCATTCAGGGAACCACCGGTTTTGATAGCCAGCCAAAAGGTGCAATCGGCACCTGTCCTGCCCTTTCTCTGTCTCTGGGGAGGGGCTGTGGAAGCAAAGAGGGCTAGCCCCTTCTCCCCACCTATTCTGAGCATAGTTGAAAGTACTGACTTGGGACTTTGAAGCCTTTGTCCAGGGGTGCGGAGCTTCCAGGAGCCAAATTCCATTTTCGAGCAGCTTTCTCAGCGGAGGGAGGGCAGTGCACATTCCAGGAATGGGGGAGGTCGAAGTCAAAAGGGGCAGGACCGATAATGCCACCATCTTTTAGTTTCATGCTTTCCCTGGTAGCAATTAAGCCATAGGAGAGGCGTTTCAACCTTTTAGGGTGAGGAGGAAAAGTGCACAAAGTTGGGAAACAGTCAAATTGATGGCTTGGAGAAAGGGCATGTAAAGAAAGCCAATTTGGCTAACGGAGCAGGATATAAATCTAATAAATAAATAAAGTTGCTACTAATTACCCCAGGGGGATAGAGACACCCACAGCCACTTAATGAGAATTAGTTTGTTTTGGGGCTCTTTGTAATAAATGTGCACCAGTTGACACAGCAACAAAATATTGCAGCATGAAGTTCTTCCAGCCAGCCATGGCCTCTCCCAGGAAATGCCATCCCATCCCTCCTCCGCCTCTTCCCCTCCTTCTCAATGCTCTCCCTCAGCATTCAATGCTTGCTAAATATTTTTGATCCTCACTGGACCGTGCTTGAAGACTTTTGCCCCCATCGGTTTCTACACACACACACACACACACACACACGGGTTTTTTTGCAGTTTTGTAAACCTCAGTGTTCCCCTGAGCCTCTGATCACCCCATCTTGCATGTGGGTGGTATTGTTTTTGCTTTATACCCTTAAGGGAGGCCTGAAATAACTTTTAATAAGTACAATTGAATGCATGAAGAGCCAAGCTGGGAGAACAAGTTTGCTATTTAATATAGAGGAAGTGTTGGGGGTGGAACTATGTTTACTGGTATGTTTCTGGTTTCTGGAAACCTCCTTAAGGCACAATCCTGTGCATGTTCCGACCGAGAAAAGACGTTCCACCCCTTAGCAGGCAGCAGCCTGAACGGGCACAGGACTGGGTCCTCACAGCACTTTATGGGTCAAAAGGTGGGGAAGAAATCAAAATAGCATTTGCTAGGAGTGCTCAATGAACAGGATCCAGGTTAAGAGGCAATGAATAGGAAGGGGGATGCGTGCCTAAGAATGCAGGAACGCCATGCTGAGCTGGACCAGGGGACCAGTCGGACCAGTCCAGCCATGCATTCTGTTGGCCGCTAGTAGCCAACCCCTTATCTCAGGCAAGAGGTTTGCAAAGGCAAGACGCTCTCTGATGAATACAGACCTGTCATTTGCTCTTAATTTCTGGTTAATTTCTGATCTCTGTTTAAAATTAAGCTTATTAAGGCTGTTTTGAAGTGTAGGACCCTCTCCAGGCAGTGTACGAGATAAAAGCAATACGAAATAAGGCAGTATAACTACAGTCAAGAAGTAATGAAGGAATATTCAACATGTTTTGCCGGTGGATCAGAGGTTAAGAGCAGGGACTGCCTGGAAGGTACCCAGCCACGATAGCGCAGTCCTCAGTGTGTCTGCTGAGAAGCTCGGAAGCAGCTCGTCCAGCCCAGTGTTGTCTCCTCTGATTGGCCGGGATCCTCCTGCATCCTCTGCATGTCGCTCATGTGCTCTGCTACTGAGTTGGAGTAAATCCCATTGAAGGAGAGTGGAATGTGCTCCGTATTGATTGTGTTTTGAAGTCTGCTGCTTTCTTCGCATTTGAGAAGCACCTCTTTGTCCTTCTTTGGCGTTTCCCCTTGTGATGGTCTCCTCCTCTCTTTCCCCTCAGATGTGGAAGTTTACGCAGGACCGTTGGGTGGTACGGAAAGAAGTCGCTACGGTTACAAAAGTAAATGCCTTTTTATCAGTATCTGTTTCTGTGCTAAGGCTGGGGGGCATCCCAGTTCCATTGAGGACTTCAGGCAGGTCCACAGGACCCAAGAGGGAGAAGAAGCGGTTTTGCCCACGACCTCCGTGTGGCTTCGCCCAGCAGCTGCTTGGCCACCAGGTGGACAGTGCTGGGCTTGCTAGGCCAGGGTGCAGAACGTCCTTCAGCCCAAGGGCCAAATTCTGTTTTTGGAGGGGTGTTTACCTGCATTCCGCTAAGGAGTAGGGCCAAACATACCTGCATATTTTCGCTTAAGCCTCTTACGTTGGTAACTAAGCTTTGGAGAGGTTTTTCAGCCGTTCAGAATGGGCAGAAAGGGCACCAAAGCTTGGAAGCCACCTCATAATTTTTGGTTGGGGGAAGCAGGTGGGGCTCTGCAGAAGAGGTGGGGCTGTCGGGGGAATCCTGGAGCACCCGATTTGGATCCTAGGCCTGTGATTCCACAGGCCTGAGATCGGTCCCGCTCTTGCCTTCTTAAGTACACCTGCCTTTTAGAAGCTGGCCCGGCAATTCGTCTTACATGCTAAACATAGGACAAGCCTCAACAGGTTCATCCATCCACTCTCAGTTTCAGCCTCACCAGCCATAGTCTGGTCTTGATGTGTCTCATTGTGGGACCACACCCTGCCGCTTTATAGGGCTGCTGATCACGGGAAAGAAAACCCTCCAGCCGCTCATCTCAGTCCCTGCATCTGTACATCCCTGCATGTATGCTCTTGTATTTATATGTTTGATTCACACAGACAAACCTATTAAATGAACTTGTTTTTTTCTAGCTTGGCCCAGAAGATGTAAAAGACTTTTTGGAGCACATGGCTTTCTTGAGGATAAACAGAGGGTGGGAATTCAAACTCCGCTATGACGAGGATTTTGTCCGGAAGCATCCAGATGTGGTCCAGAGGCAACAGATGCTCTGGATGGGCATTCAGGCCAAGTTAATAATTTACTTTCCCTTCGGGATCTGGAGGGGGGCAATAGGAAATAGGAAAAGCCCAATGCTACTTTTTTTCCTCTTGTTTTCACACTGCCTGTTAACAAAGCAGATACAAATTTCAAAACCGCCTTCTCATACGCTTGTGCTAGATAAGAAATTGATTAAACATTTATTTTCAGGGCCTCTACTGGATCATGTTATTTGTTATTACATTAATATGTCACATTTTTCCTCTGGAAAGGGAACCAAAAGCAGTGCACATAATCCTCCTCCCTTTATCCTCACAACAACCTTGTGAGGTAGGGCAGGCTGAGAGTGAGTGACTGGCCCAGAGTCTCCCAGTGAGCTTCATGGCTGAGCTGGGGCTAGCACCTGAACCTCCTGAGTCCCAACCCAATACTCTAACCATTAGACCACACTGTGTGTTGCATCTTCCTAGCAGCGGGTAATAACTCTCTGGTCAAATAATATACACTTGCCAAGGTATCATTTGGGGGCCCGCTGTGTAGCATCATAGGCAGGGTTAAATTTTGCATAATAAGCTCATTTGATTCATTGTGGTCTGCTAAGTAGCTGAGCTCTTCGGTTGGAACGGGCCAAGCCTTCTGTGATGCGTCTGCAGCAAAGTCAGTGGTGTCCTTAAGAGCCGGACAGCTCAGCGCATCCCACTGGGGCCATCGGAATAGAATAAGCCTGGGGTGTTGAGGGAGGGAGAGGAGGAAGAGAGATGAGAGGCCTAGGAAGAAGATTGCAAGGAGGGGAGGAGCCGGAGCAGAAAAGATCGGAAGGTAACGGGAGGGTGGACTGTTTGGAGGCAATGCTGGCAAGGGTGGACAGTGTACGGACCCAACCCCAGCCGTGCATCTGTACGCTAGGCAGAGCACCCGGAGGAGGGCCTTCTCTGCGGTGGCCCCGCCGATGGAGTGCGCTCCCCAGAGAGGTCCGCCTGGCGCCGTCGTTACTTGTTTTTCGGCGCCAGACTAAGACCTTTTTATTTCAATGATATTTTAATAACTTTTAATATCAGTTTATAGGTTTTAATATGCAGCCAGGGTGGATCTGGATTTTATCTGTCTTATGTTTTATTTATTTAAGTAAGCCGTCCCGAGGCTATGCGATGGGATGGCATACAGATGCTCTAAATAAATAAATAAATATATTAAAAACAAATACTAAAACAAGAACAACATCACACCTGTAACTGGAGACGCTTGGGATGTTTTTAATGTTCAGGATCTGCCTGCCTTTGTTTTAGTATAGCTGTTCACCAGGCGCAGAAATAACACAGGTATGTGTCCATGTTTTCTCGATTTCAGGTTAGAGAAGGTCTACAACCTGGCAAAAGAATACATGGCACCAAAGAAACAAGCTGCACAAGCAGGTAAATCCTCAAGGGGCTTAGGAAAGAGGCAGACTGGTTTTTGAGCAGTTAAATTTTGTGTTGGGGCAGCTTTCGCATCAACGCCACATTCTCACCTCCTGTTTTATTGTGGTGAGGTTGGGAATTGGCGAAAGGTAAGCTACTCAAACGCCAGATTGCTTTTCAAGGAGGGCGTTGGCAATGCACGGCATGTTTTGCAAAAGGTTCTTCCTTTCCTCCTCCATCCCAGTGTGTGCTTTCCAAATCCTGGGCATATTCTGACAGTAACAGCACTGGAACGTTCAGTTCTCATCTGGTTCTTGTCAAGAGAGTTTTGTTCATCTGTGTGAGCATCAGCCAGAGATGCTAAGAACAGCTTTCGATACAATACACTGTATTCCAGGCCCAAACTCTTCTTCCCTCAGCCCTTTCCGTCGTGGAGCTCAAACATCCTTGGCATCTAGGCCAAATGGTTGTTTTGTTGTAGCTTTTTTGGGCTGTGTCCCACTCTTGAGTGCTTTTCATGACTAGAATCACCCAAGACCCTCTTCACATTCCCCCCCTTTTACTTTTCTTGCAAGTAAGGATTTTATTATTTGTGGCTTTTGTAGTTTATGACATACATTGTTTTCGTGTGTGTGTCGGTTTTACTTGTATTGCATTTTAGACTAGTTCAGCCTTTTCCCCAACCTAGCACCCTCCACAACTTTTGAACTACAATTCCCAGCAGTCCTGGGCATTGGCCATGAAAGTCTGGGGCTCATGTTGAAGTCCAAACACCTGGCATTCACTAGAGTTTTAAGAACCTGGTTTCGTTTGATAGTCTGCCTTGCAGGGATTGTTCAAACCACAGTTTTTCTGTTTAGCTGCCACAGGAAACTTTGGCCTAAAAAAATCAGGTAATATCAAATTGAGACAAAAGAAAGAAGGGGAAGTGGACCCCCCTCTCCCGACATACAGGTGGTTGGACCAAGGTGTTCCGCATCTGTGTCTTTTCATTAAGGTCCTATTTATACGGCAGACTGGTTTTGCAATCAGGCCTTTGCCCTGTGACAGTGTTGGATTGTGATAAAATCTCTAGAAGAATTCTTCGCACATCAGACTACAATTCTTCGTAGAATTTCCAAGAGGAAGAAATAATTCACTGACGAGAGTCCATATAAGTGAATGGGGGGAACTTTTCATTCATTGTGTAGCTTATTTCCAGACTTAAAAAGATAAGTAGAACTGACAGGTGAGCGCAGGAACTGATCTTGTTTATTCCTTTCCCTGATTCCTCTCTCCTTCCCTTCTACCTCCAAATCTTCTTGGAAGGATTAAATAAATCGGTCAGCATGATGTGAGATTAGCAGTCCTCATAGCACATAGATTTAAAGAGACGTGGTCCTGCGGGTGGACTCTGAGCTTCTGTTGAGGGCCCTTGCGTTGCCCTTTGGCTCCCATCTCCACAGTCTTGGGCTTACAGGAAAGGCTCTTGGCGTGCAAAGAAAGCAGACGTGCTTGTGTATCAAAGAGGGATGCTCTTGAAGGCACCTTGCGGAAATGAACCAGGCCTGGAGCTGGTTAGGGCCTACCTTAAAGCTGATCAAGAGCGAGCCTGTTTCTTTGTTACTTAAAGCATCTTCACCCCACCCTTCAGCCAGAAGGGCTCCCAGGGGGACTAACATACACAGTGAAGAAAGTTAAGACAGTCCTGGACTTAAGGTTTACAATCTGAAAGACATGGCACAAAAGGAAAGGGGAAGAGGAGGGAAGAGGAAAACAAGCAAACTTGGGCACCAGTTGTTCAAGTTAGCAGTTATTCGCTGACTAACCCACATGCAGATCTTTATACTCCAGTCTTTTGAGTCAGCTGCAATCTGTTGTAAGCTGCCTTGAAAAGTGATTGCAACAAAGAGCAAGATCTAAATCATACACTGGCATAACTTGTTGTGCACCACCCAGAGAGCTTCAGCTCCAGGCAGTATAGAAATGAAATAAATACATAATGTAGGCAGAAAAAGTTGTTCCTAAGTGTGTTTAAGCATGCTTCAGAACACACACACACACACACACACACACACACCACTTCTCTTCCGTGAGGGTATATTTGGCTTTCATTTGACGAATGCACAGGCATCGACCTTGTCATCTGCTTTGGATCGCACTGCCGCAGGAATTGCAATGTGGATGTGCCACCTACACCGGTTTCAGGATCTTATGTGTATGGAAAGAGCCGGGCCAGCATTCTGCTCTCTAGTAGCCTTTCCCTCTGTGCATGTCCAACCTGTTGGGATTGAGAGGGCCAGATGCTCTTGGCACGCATTCCCAGGATATGCTGATCTGGACTTGAAGGAGGAGAAGAGTGAAGGGGCTCAGAATTTGGGCCTGTTCCAGATGTTGAGATGAGAGAAGCAGAGATGCTTATGTCGAAGCCGGACTCCCCATGTGCTCCAGCAACCTCGGCATATGCAAGATGCTCAGTTATCAGAGGGGACTGGGAACAGGGGAGTTTCTCAGAGACAGAAGACGCAGGTATGGCTCTCAACCCCAGGACTTCGCACTGGGAGAAGAGGGCTATTCAGTTAGAGGGTCGGCACGCTGAGAGGAGATCTGTTCTGAAAGGATGGAGCCCAGACATACTCAGAAGGAGAGTTCCTAGCACGAAATACTAGGTTGGGTTCAATGAGCCTCTCTGTGCATGCTCAGAGGCTCCTTCTGGGCAATTGTGCTTCTGAAAAACACATAGGTGAATAAAGAACATTTTGCAAAGAAAGGTCTGTGGTTTTGAATGTGTGATGGGAGGAAACCTAGTTCACTCCACAGCCCTAGGTGGAATTAATTGCTGAACCACCCAGGTTTTCTGTCTAAATTACACCACCCTGACCTGTTCTTTTCTAGCTGCTCCGTTGCTGGTTACCGGAGAACAGAGGGTCAACCTGGCCAAAGCCAAAGTCAAGCAGAGCTATGGACAGCTGGAGCAAGACTTCCAGAAGTGGAAAGTGGAGGCCAGAATGAATGAGTCCACCTCTCCCGCGGACCTTCTTGGAGTCCGGATCAAGGAGGAGCCGGTGAGCGATGAGGAGCCGATGGACACCTCTGTTTGTCATGGGTTCAATAATGGACTGGCCAACGGCACCCATTCAGAAGAGAACTCAGCGGACTCCATAAATGGCCTCTTGCCAGTCCAGGAGAGGGTCACGCAAGAACTGAGAGCCTTCGTGGTGGCAACCTTTAAGAAACAGTATGTTGTAACCCTGAACGAGCTTAAACGGTTATTTAATCTCCATGTGGCAAGCCTGCCTCCCGGGAATCTCTTGTTTAGTGGCATTTCGGATAAAATGTTACAGGACGTGGTGTTGGAAATGGGCTGCAAACAAATAATGGTGCCTGTAAGTTGCATTTTATAACTTCCACTTTTTCTTCTTCCGTCATCGTTATAATTGCATGACAAAGTCCACCAGTGCAGGGGTGGCTTTATATAAAAATGTGTGGTCACGGCTTCTCAGGCTGCCTATTGGTTGACCTACTGTGATGTCACAGGCCTGTCTGAACTAGAAAAGCCTTGCTGTTTCATAGTTTATGCGTGTGTTACTTATTTTAGGCTGCAGTAACAAAGAAAGATCTCGGCACATTACATGATGAGACTTAGTGCTTGGATTATAAGGTCAGATGAGCCACTTCCACAATCCTGTTTTGCTTTAAGCATTGACGATGGACCCTGAGCTTTCACCGGGTGCTTTGTGAGACAGATTCGCGGAGCGGTTCCCAAGGGTTTGGCTGCAGGTCTGTGGCTCAGCAGTGGAGTATGTCCTTTGCAAACGGGAGAGCCCTGCTTCAGTCCCTGGCATCTCCCTGTTTAAAAGAACCAGTGGCTGGTGGTGGGTCTCCGGCGTCTGCCTGAAATTGCAAAACGTTGGTACTTGTCTAAGCCTAGAGAGATCATTCTGCCTGGTGGCTGTCACTGTGCTAAATGCCCTGGTCCAGATGACTGTGGAGCTGATGTCACAAGTCTGGCATCGCCAGGTGCTGCTCCTCTTGCTGGAGGGGGCTGGCAAGGCCATCTAGTCCAACCACACGGGGTTCCCAGCAGATGGCTGTCCAGCCTGCACGTAACCCAGTCTGCAGCTGCAAGGATGAATTCACCATCCTTTAGGGAGCAGTTCCATTATCAAACTGCTCCTATAATTCAAGAGGTTTCCTTTAAGGTCCAGCCAAAATCTTCTGTCCTGGTTAGAGCGGGTGGGCTGTGGCTCAGTGTGGGGGGACGGGGGACGGACACCTGCTTTGCTGGCAAGAGGTCCCAAGTTCTATGGGAAAACACCTTCCTAAATCCCTGGAGGGATTGACGTGGGCTGAATGAGTGTGACGATGCTGAACTTAGGACAATCGTCTGTCTCAGTGTATTGTCGGCTCTTATGCACCTTAAGACCTTTAGATATAACAGGGCAGCAAAGAAGAAGTGTATGTACATTATGGAATGTTCTTTGATACAAAAGTAGGTTCTGTCTACCTGTGCATCCAAACCTATCAAGTTAGAGAAAAGGAGAGAGAGAGAGAGAGAGAGAGAGAATATGTTTGTATTTAAATGGCCTAGTTTTTTGTGCAATAAAATAAAAATTCCCTGTAGGTAGAGAGCTAGCATATCAGAGAGGTGGGCAGTTAGCCTAGTCTTCTCACTGTCATGCTGTTATTCCAAATATAGGAAATGCTTTTGTGTAAAGGAATGTTCTATCATCTGGGTTCCAGGAAGACGTTTAAACCCACCAGCATGATCTTAAGGACTAGAACCTTGCATATTTAAAAACTGACTGTCACAGCCTGCTTGCTTATGTGCCCAGTTGTACCCACTTGTGGACGTAGTAACCATGATCTGTACAGAGTTCTTGATGCCATTTTTGTTCCAAAGCAAATCAAAATGCTTTGTTTCATTTGTAAGGAAGATGGCAGCATCCAGAGTAAAAATACAGGCAGCTCACTTGAGTGGAATAAGTGCCGTTTTGCCATGGGGAAGGTCAGCAGAGTTGACTGTGTGCGTCCGTAACAGGCATTTAAGAAAGCTACTTGTGTAGCCAGAATGAAAAGGAATAAAGCGATCGTGACTTAAAGGCAGCAGCATGTCAGACGTGAATGACTGTCTCACCAGCCCTTGTTAGTCAGAGCTGTGTGTATTTTAAGCTGGAAAAGTTTCCTGTTGTTCCCTGTAAAATGGATCTTCGTGACACGCTTGCCGTTGGCACTCGGGGCATTTCTGCAGTGTTGAGAAAACAGCTGCATTGAACAAGCCAGAGCTGTGGCCAGATTTGCTGCTTGCAAAGAACCGGGCGGATTTGGCTGGGCCCCCTTGTGTATGACCTCAGGAGCAGATCTTTCAGATCTTAAGCATGGTTAAGGCAACAGACTGGAACTGCTGCCCTCCATGGTCAAAATACATGTCTGTGCAGGGAACTTTTCTGATGTAAAATATGATAAAGGAATAACACCTCTCTCCTCACCTGTGCAAAATACACAGAATTCAGGTCTCTGTGTACCATCTGCTTCTAATTTGTTTCTCTCCTTTTGTCTATCAAGTTGTGGAGGTTGGCTGGACAGGAATCTCTTGGTTTCTTCACTTTTCTGTTTTTTATTTTTGTGCAAGCAGCTAGTAAATTTGGTGGTGGTGGTGGTGAAGGAATAATGGAAGGCAGCATCTCAATTCAGGTATCATGCCAAAGGAATTTCAGGTTTGCTTTGCACTGGGAAGACACTTTTAAACCCTGCGTTCAGCCAGCAAGCCAGAACCTCGAGGCGTGGTTTGTTGGATTGTGTTTAGTGTAGTTCGTAGTTGTCTCAACTGACAGACAATCACTGGGGCCCTGCCTACCAGAGGCAGCCACATCGTAGAATGGGAATGCCGGGTAAATGGGAAATGCAAGCTGCTGTGAATCACTGTTTGCCTGCAGGTTGGTTCAAACATAATGCCAAACCATGGTTTGCACTAACTCTGGTTTGGCCTCAGATCATGATTTGTGTTCCAGACATGGAGGTTTGTATAGTTCCTCCCTTTCCAAGCAAATCCCTAGATGCTTTCCCAGACAGAGTGATCTATAGAACAACAACCCAAAATATGACTTGTTGGCTAGCATATTGCATCAAATTGCAACTTGTTCAATCTGTGTCTTGCAAATCAGTTTCGGATCCTGATGCCACTTTCTGATTTGGTGACTACTTACAAGCCTTAGATTGCCAGATGGTGTTTGCTTGGATAGTGCAACAGACCACAGTTTGGTGTTGCAGTTGAACCATCTTGGTGGCCTGGATTATGGAAAGCCACTCTTTTTGCAACCATGCAGAGACTGAAGCTTCCACTGTACCTATGATCTCTAAACTTGTGGAACTGTGGTTTGATTCAACTACGGAATGGAAACAAGCGAGGATCTGAAACTGTGTTTTGATCCTGGTTTGTTTTCCCTAAATATAGCTTACCAAAATCTGAGACTCCTCCTGGTGCATGAATAAGGAGGATGAACTCAAGAGATGTTGCATCCTGTTTACATTGTGGAAAACCAGAGTTTCCTGCCTGAACCAGGCCAATATTTTCAGATGTTTAAACCACGATTTTAGTTCTGTACTATGGTTGCTACACAATAAACTTCATCCAAATAGAGGAAGTAAGAACAAGGACAAAGATGGACAAAGAAGATATGGTTATTCCTTTTTGAAGATCAGAAATCTAGATTTGTTGCATGTCCACAAAAATCCAGGTTGTGGTTGATGTCTGTTGTGGGTGGTTTTGTTATGCTTTTGCTTTTTAAAGTGGGGGGTTGAGGGGTGGAGACATTCAGAAAGAGTGCAATTATGCTTCACGTCAAAACATGCAGCAGCCCTGGGCAGTATTTGGCTTGGACTTTGAAACTTTTTGCCAGTTCCTCTTAACAGGGAGTGAATTCATCTTCTCGTTGCTATGAAAGCAACCTTAAATATTTAAATATACAAAGCTGCTGCCCTGTTTCTGATGTCTGTGCCTAGGCTTGGGTTTTCCAGCAACTCTGTTCAGAGAGGGAAATTTTAGTTTCATACATTCAGGATTCAGATACATCCTGTTAGTAACAAATCAGATTTTAGCATTGGCAGCTGTGTGAAGATGGATTCTTGGTGGGGAAAGTGTTGTAAAAACTTGGGAGAGCAGGCAAGGTTAGGATGAGATTTTTCCCAGACACATTTTGGAGGTCTCTTTGGGTGCCGAGGAGGAAGAGTGTGTGTAGTGTCAGCTCCTCTGATTGGTAGATTGTACAAACTTCTTGATGGGCTAGGCCAGATCTAAATATTAGGAGCAGTGATCTTCTGGTTCTCCTGGTCAACAGATCAGCACATCCCTCCTACTGAATGTCAAGTCCCATTTGGAATTGAAATGGGCTGGACTAGAACGAAGGGGTGGAAATCTAAGGGGGAGCAGATTTTGGCAATGTGTTATGAGAAGCTTCCTAAGGATAAGAGCTATGGATCTGATTTTCTTTGGGAAGTGGTGGGTCTCCCTTCCCTGGAGGGATTAAGCAGAAGTTGGATGACCATCTGTTGCTGCAGCAGTAAGGTTCTTGCACTGAGCCAGAGGCTGGACAAGATGACCTCCAAGAACCCTAAGCTTTAGCACGGTCCCACCCCGAGCTCTCAAGGTTGGGCTTTGTAGAGTGAAAACTCCATGTTCTGTCCTCTGTCTGCACCGGTGCAGTTCAAAAACTTTAATTAAAGTATTCTTTTCCAAGCTGGTATTTTTGTTTTAATACCCTAAAGCCAATAATCCTGACTGGTGCGACCTGTTTTTAGTTCCCCCCGCAGACAACCGCATTACCGGATGAACAAAAGGTCTTTGCACTTTGGGAAGCCGGGGACACGTACGATCAGGTAAGCTGGAGATCAGAGCTGCCACTTTGGCGAAGGCACGCTTTGGGCATGCAGGATGTGTGCAGCAGTGTGTCTTCCTCACAGTAGAAAGAGGCTGGGAAGACTTCTAGCATGGGGTCTTCCTTCTCTGTGCTGGTTTCTCTTGCACAGAGACCATGGATCATGACCTCTCCCAGTTTCGGTCTTGGCACCCCCAATTCCAAAAGACCAGGTAGCAACTGGGAGGAATGACCTGGGAAGCTGTTGTGATAGCAGACCAGGCAACTCGGGGCCCTCCAGTCCTTTTTAGATTACAGGTCCCATAAATCCTTGGCTCTTGGCCATACTGGTTGGGGCTGACGGGAGTTGCAGTCAAAATAACTGGAAGACACTAGATTGCCTACCAACCTAATGGAATACTGATTTGCCATGGGGAAAGCTAGCTCCATGGGGTCTCTACAAGGGTGCTTAGAACAGTGGTCTATACAGCATAGAATTTGGATCAACTGTAGTTTTCCATTGTAAGTTAAGTAAGAATCTATAGCTATCTTCTTTGGATCAAGCCAGGATCCTAAGCGAACTTCAAACTATGGTTTAGGGTATCTTGGTTCAATCTGAAACCGATCATCGTTTCCCAGTTCAAATAAATCTTTGGTTAATTAGTTATTTCTATAAACTGCCCAGAGAGGATCCACCTATAGGGTGGTATAGAAATGAACTGAATTTAATTATGCAAACAGTCTAGAGAGCCATGAGGTGAGGCTAGTGTGGTGGCACACAAAAATGTTAAATAAATTGCAGTTTGCCTGAAAAGGCTACCTGGTCTAACAGAAGTCCTGGTTATATCTTGGCTTAATAAGCCCAGATAGGATTGTGGCCTAAAAGTTGTGCTACAAGATTGCTTTATGCTGATGCTGGCTTTCTTTTTTGCCTTATCCTAACTTGGATATTGCTATTTCTGTTTTTCAAAGCATCGGCAAATTTTGCTCGAAATATTTTCCAAAAACTACCGAGTGCGTAGAAATGTCATCCAGAATCGGTTGGCCTGTGAATATGGAGAGGATCTAGATAAACAAAAGGTGGATAAAATCTTGAAGGTAATATTTTTCCTGCTTTTCAAACAGTAGTTGAAATTGAAAGTACCAACTGAAGCAGTGTGTTAGTCCAACCAGATTTTAGTAATAATTGATATTAAGTCCTTCTGATTCCCTTGGGTTTAAGTTACTTGTGACTAACTTCACTCTTCTTGATTTCAGTGGGTCTAATGCCAAGTATGATTGCTTGGACCCAAGCCTGCTTTTATTTACAAATAGTAAAAATAATTATGAGACGGGTTACACATAGTTCAACTATTGGCCTACATTTCCTCTCCTCTATATTTAGACAATGGGGTTCTGGGTGTGGGGAGAAAGAGAGAAAATGGATAGGCTGTTGGAGAGGAATTTCCCCAATGCCTTCCCCAACCTGGTGGCCTTCAGAGGCATTTGGACCACAACTCCCAGGACTCCCACCCAGTAGAGCCATTGACTGGGAATTCTGGTCCAAACATGTCTGGAAGGTACAAGGGGAAGGCTGACCTAAGAGGTTGCCTTATGTTAGAATAGGTCTGTTGTTCTGGTGGTCCATTTGATGCAATATTGTCAATGCTGTCAGTGGTTCTCCGGCATTTCAGGATTCTTCCCAGCTGTAGATCCAGAGATGCCAAGAATCAAACCCAGAACCTACAGCCTGCAAAGCAGGTGCTCTGCCGCTGAACCATGGTTCTCCCTGAAGATTTCTGTGGGAACCTCTGGTCCCTTTTGCTTTTGCAAATACAATCCCTGCGAACACCCCTCCACCTGCATTTAATCATCGCTTGGATGATTACACTTGCATCTACATGTATAATTGTGAATTGGTTGATGGATGAGTGATAACACACTTAGCTTGGCTTTGGATTACTTTGCCCCCGGCAGTTCTCCAAGGTCAGCGCTTTGAAGATCCATCATCCCAATTGCGCAAGTGACTGCAGCCATACTTTATGTGGGACATCTATATTGCTAAAGCCTTAATTAGAATTACCTCAAAAGATGATTTGTGCGGTCAATTAGTTTCGAGGCTGAAAGGCAGGCAGTGTTTGAAGCTTTGTTTGAGATCCCGGCAAAGCCTTCAAGTTCCCTTTTGATTCAGGCTGATCTTCCTCACGGGGCAGTTTTACAATAAGCATGGCCAAAATGTAGCCATCGTAATACAAAAGGGAGAGGCAGAGGTAGAACACCTGATTTGGATTCAGGAGTCCCCAGGTGTGACCCACCTGGGGTAAAGAGTCCTAGGCTGAAACAGCTGCTGTTGCTGGCCTGTGTCAACAATACTTGGCTAAATGGACCTAAGTCAAGTTCGATTCCACAAGGCAGCCAGTCTGCCAATGTTCCTAGAGGTATTGGAGGACTGAGTTTGCAGAAGTACAGGAAAACACTGGAAGAAACAGTAACAGGTCCATTCAGACAGCATGCCCAGCTGGCCACAGATGGAGGGTGGATGGGAACCCCCTGCTGCCATCAGGGTCCTGTTTGGTGAAGGTGTGAAAGAGCACCACTCCCAGCTGAGAATCTAGGTTGCCACTTTCTCTGTTGTCTCCTGCCAGAAGGCAAATACTTTTTATTGAGAGAGGCTTTTGGCATGGAAGCCGCTTTGTTGCTGAAGAAGGTTCTAATGGGTTTTATTTTTTGAATGTTTTTTAAGCACTGTTATTGTTCAGGATTTTTTAGAAATTTTAATCTTGGTCTTACTACTACCACTGGCTCTGTTGACCACTGTTCTTGGGGACAAAGGGAAGATATAAGTCGGTCACAACTGGGATGTAGAAGAGAATGGTGTATCCTGGGAGAGAACATGGCTGGCTGGAACACTGAACAGGCGGATGTGCGCTGCAACATTTTGTTGCAGGTTGCCATGCGCCTTAATCAGGATGGCTTGTTCTCTAGACTAGGATGCTGTGTAGTGGCAGAGTTAAAGGGAGGGTTGAGAAAGAGGCGACAAGAAAGCGCAGATGGCAGGTTGTGATCTACAGGAATGTGCACATATACCCTATTTGAAACAAAAAAGAACCCACTGCATTCAGACTAATTACTTAATTGTACCAATTAGCAATGCCATGCTTGTTCTGCTTTAATTATGCTTCCAACCAGGTAGCAGGCTGAACATCGTGTTTTGAGTATTGCTGTCTGAGGTAGGAGGGAATGGCAAACAGTTCCCTTTGGCACTGTTGCTTTGCAATCTCTGAGGACCCTGCCGTTGCCTAGATAGCATCAACAGAAGTTGGCTGCAGACACACAAGTGCAGCTTTTTAAAGTCAACAGCTGCTCTATCTGTGGCCCTCCTGTGGTGTGGCATCCCCTAAAGTAGCCACCCATCATGCTTTCAGGAGTGATAAAGCAAAGCTTGATCTTAGAGTAGTGCAGATTATAAGAGAAAGAAGTGTATTTAGTGAAGAGTAAGAAAAGTGGCAAAGGGATAGGAGGTAGCGGAGAAAAGACATTCTAAAGCTTCATAGCTTGAATGGCTTCTTGGGTCTCTTGAGAATGTTTGTTATGTCCACTTTCTCTTCTAAAAAAAGCATGATTCTAGCCCTCATGGTTTTGGAGATATATTTTTGAAATTCTAAGCTTGTTGGAAAGGACCCAATTGACAATTTAGTCAACTCCCTCATTCAGAGAGTAACTACAATATCCTCTCCCTTTTGACAATCACTAAAAAAGAACCCAATCCCAGTTGTCCAGTTGAGGTTTCTTGTTGAAGGCAGGGTACAAGATTGCTGCTGGTTTGTTTCAGAGCAACTCCTAAGTGCAACCACTGAATCACAGTGTCAAGGCAGGGAGCAGATGCTGCAATCTGGAGACACTGACATATGCTTTTAAATATTATGCATGATTTAGTTTGACATAAATGGTGTGCTGTCATGGCTGGATATCCCCAAGTTCTTGGTCTTACAACCAACAGTGATTGTCTGTTCTTTTTACCCCGCTCCCTGTCAGTGACCTTAATTCTAATGGCATGCAATTAGGAGCAGAATTATTCTTCTGCAGAGCTCCTTTGGGGAGATTATACCAATGCTTCTTAACAGTTTTCTCCTTTCTTCTAGGACTGCTGTGTAAGCCAAGGTGGCATGTGGTACCTTAAAGGAACAGTACAACAGCCAACATCTTGACAAAAGGGATTCCCTTTCATAGAATCAGGTTAACACCCGGACTGAAGGCAAATTTTCAGGGCAGGAAAGTAAATCAAAACGCCCTCCTTTCCCTTGGTCTGGGACTGCGCTTGATCTCCTTAAGGCCCTGTGGACGGAGGAAGCAGTGTGTATTTCCCTGCTCAACTCATTTGCATGGCATCCAAAATGCCACCCTTGGAGAAAAAAATGGATCTTTGCAAACCGTTAGATTAATTCGGGATCCCTAATATATTTTGCTTCTCATTTTGATTATTATAACAAAAAGAAAGAAACCTCATACTTACCCAAATGTTACAGAAGATCATGATCTAATATTTTATTTTGTAACTAATGCCAATAAATTGCAAGTTTACACTTACATCCCAGATGTTTTTAAAATCCTCAACATTCTGACTTCTGGCTAGCACACACATTACCCTAGTGAGGGGCGGAATTAAATCTACAGTGTGTAGTAGTTCTTGACATTTGTTTCTGTGGAAATTGATAAGAGGCAATAATTCCTTAAGCCTGAATGTCCAAGGGGTTTTCTTTTGCATAACTTAATTCACCTGTGAACATATACTGTGCCTAAATTACTAGTTTGCATGGTTTTCCCTTCTATCTTTGCAGCCTTTCTGGTTAACCCTACTTCTAAGAGAGTGGGAGAAAGCAATTAGAAGAAAGCAATGTGAGAAAGCAATTAGAAGAAAGCAATGTGAGAAAGCAATTAGAAGTATGCTTACAACCAGTCTGAAAGATCACAACAACTGTACTTTGGCAGGAATTCTTAATTTTTATCAATGAGAGAGAGGGAAGTAGAGTTGTGCTATGATTTTTAATAACATTCTTCTGCCCAGAAAATTAGTTTTTAAAAAATGGGCTTGCAGGTATCCTAGTTCCTTCTGTGAATACATGAATGCTAATTCTTGGGTGCTGGTTGAGGCAATAGGTTTGACTGAATAAAGGGCAGACCTAAGCAGTCAATTAAAATGCAATTTTTGATTATAGTGCCACCTACAAACAATGCATGAGGTGGAACCTTCTGAAGTGAGGTCCTTTAGGATGTTCATAAAGTATGCCTCTTTTTGTGACTTGACATACATTTTGCACATCACTAAGCAGTAACATGTCATTTTGTAGCATATTAAATCAGATTTGTGTGCACACAGCCTTTAAAAAGCATTGTGTCAGTTGAATGCAGGTCAGAAGTGAGCCGAGCAAAGTTGGTAGCAGGCTTTCTCAACAGCCTCTACAGTATATGCCCTTGAGCATTACTGCCCATTTTTCTGCTGCTGCCTCCATCCTAAGTGCCTGTTTTTCCATGAATCATAGTAAGCTGCCAGGTGGCAGTCCAAAGAATTATATTAGGGGAGGAGGCATAGACCTTTAGGGCAGTTAACTTTGTTTAGATCAACTGAAGGCTGGATGAAAATTTGTATTTACCTGGCAGTATTTAACACCCGTGCAAGAGGTTTGTTTTTTGAATGTTTTTTTTTAAATTTCAGGGTAACTCACACAATTTGCACAATGCCACTTAGGAAAGGGGAGGTAAAAATTGAAAGTTTCAATATGGTGACTGCCTACCCTAATCAGAGCCCATCTACCCCAAGAAAACCTTCAGAGCCATGTGCTGACCACTTAAATCCTCACATAGCTGAAGCTTTACTTTCCTAATTGGGTATCTGATACCAGCAAAGGGGGAGGAGATGTATCCCTTTTGGGTTTTTTAAAAATTCTGTTGTATTTTTCTGTGACTATATTTTTATAAGATTCCAGAAAGTTAAACTGCTCCACAAGTCAGGAATCCATTTTTAAAAAAAGCTGGTCTGCTGTGGAATTTGCTTGGCAATTTTATGGAAAACAGAACTAATTTGAATCTTTTGTGGATTTTTGTAGCATCCTACAGCACAGAATAGATCAGACCCAACCTGATTGTTTCCCCTTTCTCTCAGTCTTTCCAAAGGTACTAAAAACCCCTCTAGGTGCAGCAGAGGGTTGTACCCGAGCAAATATTATTCAACTCTATTCTGCCTTTTAGGGGAAGGCTTCCAAAAGAACCACGTTCAAAGCTATGAGGCGAGCCAAGTTTCTTCTAAGAAACCCACAGCTCTTGTAGTGCTGCTGCTACGATAAAATGCAAATAACCGGGCTAGTCCTCGAGAATGCTGTCCAGAATTCCTTCAACATCCATGGCTTCCTGAGTAGACACGCTTGTTTAAAACAAAGGGGGGGGGGGGTAAACAAGCCCTGACATGGTCTAAAGTGATAGTGGTGCAAATGCAATTTTAATGCAGCCTAAATCATGGGTCTTCAAACCAGGGCCCGCAGGCGGGGAGGGAGGGAGGGAGGGAGCTGGCGCATGCTCAAATCGCAACCGCGAACTGCGCGTGCGCCGGCTTCCCCCTCCCCCCGCCCCATTGCATGCACACACACGGAGCGGGAATACGGAGCGGGAAACGCGAGAGGCGGGCGGAAGAGAACGAGACGAAGACACTAAAAAAAGGACTGAAAGTAAGTAAAATAAAACTTTAAATCTATTTTTAATGATGCAAGCCCGGGGGCGGGCAGTCGGGCGGCCTTCTCCTCGCGGGAAAGCCGCCGCCTTTCAACGGGCCCCGTTGAAAAAGTGGGAGGACCGCTGGCCTAACTGATTCAGCCCGTGTTCCCTTGATGTAAAGGTGGAAGTGACTCGATACAAACAGGAAAAAGTGACTGAAGTCTAGATAACTCAGTTCGGGTTTAGGATAAAGGAAAGACCCACATCAGACTTGGTGTGTGCCTACCCAGCTTTTTCTAACAAAGGCTATCACTGGGGGCTCCAACGGAGCCAAGCTCAGGGAGCCAAGGGTCCATTTGGATGCCAGGAGGAACTTCCTGCCAGTCGGGACCCCGAGGGTGTGCAGTGGGCTTCCCCGGGAGGTGGTTGAGGCCCCTTCGGTGCGGGTGTTCAAGGACAGGCTGGACGTGCACATGGTGGGCCTGTCGTGAGCGGAGCAGGCTGGAGCCGGGGGTCAAACTAGATGGCCTGGGAGACCCCTTCTGACTCGCTCTGTTTCTATAGTGTTGGCTTTTAATGAACCAAACACATTTTGTGCACTCTAACCTACAGTGCCCTTTCATGGAATCTTAACCTCACTTGAGCACATACATAGACACAGAGGTTCGCAACACTTGCTGAAGACATTTATTTACTTTTTACAAAATATTCACAATAGCTTACAACTGTTTTAAATAAGCAGACTAGTGGAGTGTTTCCACATGCAGAAACTGTGTCAATGGAACAAACAATTCTCATTTTACACTGTACATAAGGCAGAGTAGTTTATAATAGCAGCAACTTAAGTAAAACTGCAGTATCTTTTATTGTTAAGCAGCTCAAGGTTTGTTTTTTTAAAGTAAGAATGAAATAAAAATGACATTGCTGTAGTTTGTAGGTACAGCTTCCTTTGCACTTGGAAAACAAGCCATCCTTGCTAGTGCTGTGAACTGGCTTTCAACCTTTTAATTCCTTGCCTTTACCATCAACTATTCAGTTCATGTATTTGATACTTGTAAAAAAAAAAATCCACCCTCTGATATTGATACGTACTCAATTTTTAAAATAAGGGACTATCATGTTTTCACTCTATATTTCTAAGAGGTAGTTCTGCCAATAACTGTATAGGCAAGAACTTCCAGGAGGTTGTTTTTCATGTTCAACTAAACACAATATTCATACATGACCAAAAGTGACAATTGGAAATTCCAAGAACTGCCACAATTAGCAGCAAAATCAGAACAGTGTGTAGAATCCAGTCTTTTGCTTTCAGGTAATGCACTGTAGTAATTAAACTCATAAAAATGTCTGTATCATTACATCAAAGTTCCTTTTGCATACAGAACCTTCACTACAACAATGGCATTTCAGTGCATGGGAGGAATAGCTAAGCTGTATCAGCCTCAGGCTTCTGTGATGTTCCCAGCTTGTGCCAATGCATCAGTGCTCAAGCAGCCTTACCAGTTCGGCCCAAACAAGCTAAACATTAGATCCTGGTTTTTTTTTTTTTTTTTTAAATTCATGGTGAAATTGAGGCTCTACATAAAACACTCCCTGCTATTACAATGACGGACTGAGCAACTCTCAGCAACCCTAGGCAGTATTGCCAGTGGTGAGGGATGAAAGGAACCGTAGGCCAGAACATCTGGATGGTTGCAAGCTACAATCCAGTGTGTCTTATGCAGAGATGTGATGAAGCATTCAGGTAAACAGTCCTGCTTAGTTTGAAATACTCGATGTTTATGCAGCAGAGGGGTTTATTTGGACCAACTTATAATGCACACAGAAAAAAGCCAGTGTCCAAATTTTACAGGACAGAGTGGCGCTCTCTGCAGAGGACTAAAGAGCTTTCAAATTCCCAGCTCCCAGTTCTTAAAGCACAGAATGGGATATGTAAATAATGCTTGTGAATGAAAAGATGCACACACCCCTCAATAAGCAGTTCTCTTAAAGAATTTACTTGAAGATAGAATAAACCAGACCATTTCTTCAGGAGAGACAGCGTCGATCCATTGAACAAGTCACACAGCGATAGTGGTAAGAAATACCAACTAAAGATCTAAGTTGTAAAATGATGTTTGACCGTAACATTTGGACCCAACAGTATAGCCAGTTTAAACTCTGTATGGTAATTTAATTTTTATCTTGTGCTTAATGGCTAAATTGCCACTGCATAAGATAAATGCAACACTAGAGAATGTAACTCTACTTTTCAGCTTGTGAACACCAGACAAGCTGGGCTTTAAAGACTGGCAGTTTTGCACATGCAAGCTACTGCTTGTTTTGCATTTTCTCTTCAACTGCACCTTATAACCAGTATTAGAGTGGTTAACTGAATTGTGTAATTTGTCAAGTAATTATTGTCAGTGACTGGCCCTGAGAAATTCACCCTATCATTTTGAGGAAGCAACAGTGTTCCAAATGCACATAACTAACAGGTGGACCCAGCCCATTCTACAACTTTAACAAAAATACAGACATGCAACAAATGTGTCATATGAACCTTTAAAGGACTATTTCAGGAACAGCTCTTTTCTAGCGTTACGCTGAAACATAACAGGGAAACCAAGGTGTTAAGGATGAGAAGACAGAGATGCGTATTTTGCTCGGTGTTCATCTATTTCCTGCTTGGTTTTCTTGATACAACTAAAGATTTCCTTAAAGAGAAGTTTGTATTCAGGCGGTGTATTTGAAGATAAGCTGCCATGGTCGGCACTAGAGGGTTCCGGTTCTCTAGCAGATGTGTCCAAGGAGATATTCCCCACATTTGCATCTTTGGAATACTGTTTAGAGGTCTGCACAGCCTTATGTTTCAGTGACTCCTCGTCAATTTGACATTTCTTCAGAAGCTCTTCATACTTGACCTTCAACGCATTATACTGTGCGTCAACCTCATTAAGCAGAGAGATGCCCCTTTGCTTCACAGCTTCTGCCCGTCGGATGCAGGTTTCTTCGTGGCCTTTCAGAAGGTCCCCACCTGCGGCACTAGCAAGAAAATTCTCACTGCTGCTTCTTTTGAGAGCCCTTTTGTCAAATTCTGGTGCAATTAAAGAAACCCCATCTGGAGAGCTCTGACTCAGTTCTCTGTCCAAAGAGTCTTTAAATGAAACAAAAAATGACTCTGGTACAAGCTTTTCTACCCCGTTAACAAATGTGTTTTCAGACTGAAATATCTGCTTCATTTCAGCTACTTCTACCTCAAGCTCTTCTGCTCTGGCTCGGTAAATAGCAACATCCACCAGCCTCTGCTCAAGGTCACAGTTCTCCTTCAGCATGAGATGGTACTCCTCCTCCATTGTCATTCTCTTCTCTTTTTCCAAGCTGAGTTGAGCTTGCAGGAGAGTCACTGCTTTTTTTAAGCTCTGATTTTCTTCCTCTACAGGACTCAGCTGATTATCCATGGAAGTAATTTTCTCCGCAAAAATATGGTCATAAACAAAATACCTAAGCACACAAATAAAAAGGTGAATAAAAAGCTTTAGCCTGCTAAAGTTTTACTATCACAGACAAAACAGGACTCCACTAAAATAAGTTCTTTTCTGAAAATGATCAGACTGGGGGAGCTGGTTGTGTTTTGATGATACATAAAGCTACAGATCTTGACCCTACCTTAAAACAAGCTAGAACTCAATCACCAACTTAATCGCACAGGTTAAAGCACAGGTGCAATCCTATGTATTCTGGCTGGAGGGTGCCAGAAATTGCAGGACCTTCTGTCTAAACATGCACAGGATTGTGCCTTAAGGTTTCTCCACTGATTAGGCCACATGGGCAGTCCTATGTAGTTGTAGGAACACATTTTATGACATTGACCAGCTACAGTATGCCCAGTACAGGCCCAAAGATCTGGAAACTTAAACCCTATGAAAATAATCTCTGAATGGCAGCCCTACAGTTGAGAATGGAAATTGGAAAAAGCAGGTTTTAGTTAAAGAGTATAAGATACTTCCTACTGCTAAGAGGCTGGGAGGTGGAAAAGTCTCAGTCACCACCTGCTTTAGATAATACAGTTGCATCCTGCATTATCAAGGGGTTGGAATAGATTACCTGCAAGGTCCCTTCCAATGGTAATCCTAAGGCCTAGAGCCCTTTAAACAGCCACTGCATTGGAACAGAGCTAGATTTCCAGAATCACACTTTATGAAATATAGTTGTTATCAGCATCCACTGAAAATGAAGCTGAAGGCAAGGGAAGAAGTAATCAAGAAAAAGCAGGCCCAGATGATGCAGTCTAAAGTTATCCAGAGAGTTCTAAAACGCCCAAATGATCTACGATTATAGCTGTACGTGACAAGAATGTTTTTACAACTAAGAAGGAAGAGATCTGTTCAAAACCAATTCTGATTTCTTTTAAAGATAAGTTCTCTCGTAAATATGTTCATCACATTTCCTACTCTAGGGTGGTAGAAAAGAGTATTTTAACTTTTTTTAAAGCAGAAAAATACTTACTTGCGAAGATCATACAATTCTTTTAGACATGAAAAACTGTGAACAGATCTTGGCTGTTCAGATCTTTCATGGTTCGTATGACCCTGCCCAGAATTCTTCAGCTCCTCCACTTGACTCTGGAGGTCCTCAATGTGGGTCTGAAGACTTTCAATTGTCTCAGTCAAGCTAAAAATGAAAAACAGCATGTACACAGGTACACATAGTTGTCTGAGCAAGTCATGTTTGGAACATCAACAATGGTTCAAACTGTAGTTTGTGAAATGCTTGTGATTCATGCTGTTGACTTTGGCAGTCACCTCAGCTCAAGGCCTATTTGGTCTTTACGTCACCCTTCAAACGAGACCAGAAGAAGGCCTCAGGCTTCATCCCCCTTCCTCCACTGCAGGTAGAGAAGCTTCACAAGTGCTTTAGGAGAGGCCATAGTAATTGAACACAAGATCTCTCTGACCAAGAGTGAAGAATTCTCTTCTCTAGCAGGTTCCTTCCTGCAGGATTTAGGAAATCCTACATTCTAACACTGAATTTCCCAGTTCAGTTGTTCATTTCTTGATGGGAAGAAAAAGGTGCACAGAGCTACAGTGGAGCCAGGGCTCAAAGGGATGCCCCCAGCAAGTCTTGAGAAGCAGGGGTGTTGGTATCATATGCTATACCTCTCAGAATGCTCCCTTGAGAGTATATGGTTCCCTGTTATTATGCCATTTGGGGATGGGCTAGTTTTGAATAAACAATCAAGACTTCCTCCCACTTTATCTAGAGCTAGTTTTCCTTGATCAACCTTGCTTTGGACTCTTTTTCTGGACATGGTTTATGGTGATTGTCACAAAAAGTGGCTTCACTACAAAACCTACCACTACACTGCTGGGGGTACACAAAGAGCAGAAGAAGAAAACCCAAGGCCCATTCCCAACCTTAGTGCAAGTAAAATCCAAAAAACCAAAGAGCAGTTGTATGGACCCTTTGATACAGGTATTCTTTGAGCAAATATATAGACGCCATGCATGTTGATAAGGAAGAGGGCAAGTACTACAGGAGAGTATTACCTTAGTATCTTTTGCTGTGATGATCTACTATCAGCGACGAGCTTTTGATTAGCATCTTCCAGTTCTCTAGCAGTGACATCAAGTTGTTCATAAACTTTGGCATGTTGGTCATTCATCTGACGGAGAAGTTCCACCTGCTTTGTAAGATACTGAAGAATAATTACAGTTAGCACCGACTGTAGTTAAGGGATGTGTTCATTCCATCCGTGATAGTCCAAATGGTCCGTATTTTTGCTGCTTTCCTTATAGTCTCAAGGATGCTGAATTGTAATTCATAGGAAAATAAGCCCACACAATAACATATGAGCTACACGGGGTGCCTTGTGCATGGAATAACCCATGGTGTGCTCAACAGATACTATCAGTTGTATTCTCGCTCCACCTACTAGTATCTCAGGATCCTCTACAGCAGAACCTGAGACGCTTAGTGTCAAATGCTGGATTTCCACTGATTGTATTTATATATCCCACCTTTTTTACTTCCAAGGAACTCAGAGTAGCTTACATAATCCTCCTCCCTCTCCCCATCTTATTCTTGCCACAGCCTTGCGAGGTAGCTTGGGTGAGAGTCTCACAAAGTCACCCAGTGAGCTTCATGGCTGAGTGGGAACTAGAACCCAGATCTCGCAACATACAATTTCACATTCCAAGAATGAGAAATAGACACACTCTAGAATTCTATTAGTATCATCAATATGCTGTGAAAACAGTTCTTCTATCCATACTTTTCCTAATAAATAAATATGCCAAAGAGGGTTCGCAACAGTTAAAATAGTTGAGAACTAAAATCAATAATCGTTGATATGAATATGAATCACTGAATCAATAAAATCAATAATCATTGTTATTTTTGTACCAATTGTTAAATCTCTGAATTTTTCGGACAGTATTAGGAGTCAATGCTCTTGTAAAGTAGTCTGTTGATTATATCATCAAATATTCTGTTTATATCATTAGAAAGATTGGTAGGCTTACATTCTGAGATGCATAAAGCAGGATTAGAATTTAATCTATCATCACCCACAACCTTCACCTTGTGAGAATCTATTAGACGCTATTACCTGTTGCTATTTATAGCCAGCCTGTGTACCACACAGGATTAGACAAGGCTGGCATTAGTCAGAAATCTTAGTGTACCATGAACAAGGTTAATTTTAACTGCTATTTCTGAATGAAGACATTTGTTATAACAAAGAATTCACATTTTATTAGCATTGATAAATGTTACACCATTACAAGAGAAATCTCTATTGTTGAATTTGGAATTTTACATCAAATTAATTTGTATCCGTTATTACTTCCCATAAGAATGCCACGAGAATATAGATTTTTTTTTTTGGTATGACTTCAAAAGTCCAGTTGCCTTTCAGTAAAGACACATTTGCTGTTTGCCCTACACTTAAGAAGGCTCTTTGTTGCCTTTGGTATAATTAGAGCAATGGGTAGGGGAAGGAAGGAAGGACGGACGGACGGACGGACGGAGCTTTATACTGAATTCTTATATTGCACAGTGTCCACACTTAAGATGAGCTACATGTTCGTTTGGTGGGAAGAGACTGCATCCTTGGCTGATAGGCAGAAAAAACAGTCCAGGTTAACTTAAAAGGAACAAACCCAGAACAGAAAACTACCCCCTCAATTTTAGAAGTCCTTCAGTGAAGGAATGGGCAATTTGTTTTTATGTAGTTAGTTGCATTCCTATTCTACCCAGGGCAACTTATAAGGTAAGTTAATCAACATAAAAACCAATTTGTTTAGCACTGAATACCTCTCTACCATACCAAGTTGTGTTACAGAAAATGTTACTAGATGGTGTCTTTTTTATTTCTGTGTTTGATTTGCTTAAGTATTAAACTGGTTCTAACGAGAAAAAGAGAAGAATGTTCTGAGTGCCTTGTACATATCAGTAACAAATCTGAGAATGCCTAATTAACATCTACATAAAGCTTTGGGGCATTCAAAATACCTCCTAAGAATATACAGCCTTAAAAACTATTTTGTTTGGAATTACTCTATCAAAAGCCAGTGTGGTGTGGTAGTTAAAGAGCGTTGGACTTGGGGACCTGAGAGAACGGGGTTAGTTTATTGCAGCAAAAACCAATGCAGAGTTTTGAGTATGTTCAGTTGTTACCTCGATTTCCTGTAGTTGCTCCTGGTTGGTCGAGTACATCTGCTGCAGAGATGTCTCCAACTCTGTGTTCCGATCCAGTAGTGTCTTCCCAAGCTCAGCAGCAAGATGCAGATCTAAAATAAGGTGTGTGAATGTTATCTAGTGCGATGACCATCATCTTATTTCAAGTTCGAGTTTACAAATCACGGACAAATATAACAATATACATTTGCTTTGTGAGAAAGACTTGGGTAATGGGTTTAATGACTATCCCTACCATTGTTAGAAACAACTAATTGAAGCCCACATCTTGGATATTTTACAAAGTTGCTTCAGGGACTTAATTGACTGCTCTCGACCCTCTAAAACAGGAGCAGGCAGCACTGTTCTGGGCAGCTCAGGGAGCTTCAAAATATAGCACTGGATTCTAGCCCAATGATCTTTATTCCCCAGAGACATTCCTGTGAAGCAAATATGGTCGGTGTGTGGAGGCTGCTGTTTCATTTCAAAGTGTTTTTAATCTTCTAAGAAACAAGGAAGGAGGAAGCACATTTTCTGGTAAGGGGGAAGGCAGTAGGGCAATTACAGAAGGCTGGGGGTGCCCCAGTATAGTGGAGAAAACAGGGAAAATGAAACTGGGAGTGAGAAATAAGCTACCGGATCTTGTGTGCTTTGAGCAGGGAGAGTGAGACAGAGAGTTGGAGAAGAGCATAAACCTGAATGTAAGAAATCACTTCAAGCTGAAAGGAATAACTTTGTGTTTGGGGGCTCAGCTTCTTCTCACCTCCACTGCAAATTCAGGATCTTACACAAGTTACTTGTCTCACCAGTTTGCCTTTCAATGAGATGGTTATGGCACAAATTTTATAGATGCTCACACCCATGGAAACCATTCTGTGATCACACCTATGATAATCCAAGAATTCCAGGTGCACCCACAAGTCTTATTATTATTGTTGTTGTCATCATCATCATCATTTCCTCTATACCACTCCACAGCTGAAGCTTTCTGGAGAACCCTAGTCTAACACTAAATAGTCTAAATAGTGAAATAAAATGTATTTTTTCATGTTTAAGGAATAAATATGGGAAAGCAGATATTTCAAGCGTTCTGATATTTGTTATACACTTTCTTTTGCACTTAGCTGATGAAGCTATCAAGATGTCAAGTTCACAGCCCTGAAGGTAGGAAGGAAACGAAATAAAATGTCACTGAATATCAGCATGATCAAGGCCAACATTTCCATGGTTGTTTTAGCTCTGATTCTGAAGTTTGGTGTAGATTGACAGTACTGGCTTGGTACCAGAGAATGCAAGTCATTTCTCAACAGGCCAACTTTTACTGGCATTAAGTTCATACAAGTTCCATCATGCAGAGATCTGACAAATTCAAAAGCCTGCAGACTCAGAAGTTGGTCAAATCAAAACCTGCCCTATTAAGTATTTATAAAGCCCAAGGATATTTCCAGTCACTGCCATATCTCTTCCAAATGTGAGAGTTTATAGGTAATTGTGTGCTGCTTATTTGTGACGTGACAAGATACTGATATCCCCATTTGAGATATGCCTGTTATGTCATTTGTCAGTTCTCTTCTGAAACTGTAAAGCCCCCAAAAAACCATCAAAGCCATTTTCTAAATGAAATCGACTTTAGAAAGAGGATCATTAAGTATTGCAAATACTGTTACAGATCAACACTAGGTATGTACATTTGACTAGTTATCTATTGACTAATTTATTCTTGGTTTCTGAGTATTTATAACATCCTGCAATGACATAGTTCAGCAGCTTAATTTTTTAAGAAAAACACATGAGCTACACCAAAGTTGTTGCCTCTGCTGTCAGTTATCTAAGTAAACAGTAACCATTCTTTCTGTCCCCTCAAAATGATTATAAAAGCTATTTGTGCTATTTAAAAGATGTAACCTGAGCATAATCCATTCTAACAATCTCCAATGCTGCCATGAATACTGCTGTTCTGGAGTGTTTCCTAAAAGGGATGTATCAAAAGTATTTTGAAACTTCCAAGTATACAATATGTACCCATCCATGTAATTGCTGACACTCTAAAAAACAAGGCTTAGCAAGGCAGGCCCTACTGTTGTACACTTTCTATCAGTTCAAAATTGATCTTTTCTAATATGCTTGATAATGTTATCTTTTATTACCCAGATGTTTGTTTATTTATTTATTTATTTATTTATTAAAACATTTTTATGCCGCCCCATTCGCCGAAGCCTCGGGGCGGCTCACAATAATTATAATATAAATTAAAAATATAAATATTAAATTAAAATACCACAATACAGTATAAAATAAGCCGCCCTGGCCAGATAAAACCAATAATGTTAACAGTTAAAATGCCGCTTGAATAAAAAGGTCTTCGCCTGGCGCCGAAAAACAAATGACGGCGCCAGGCGGACCTCTCTGGGGAGCGCGTTCCATAACTTAGGTGCCACTGCAGAGAAAGCCCTCCTCTGAGTACCCACCCTCCTAATTTCTTTCATGGAGGGTTCCCGGAGAAGGGCCTCCCCCGCCGATCTCAAGGGGCGGCTGGGCATATATGGATGCAAGCGCTCCTTCAGGTAACCAGGACCCAAGCCGTTTAGGGCTTTATAGGTCATCACCAACACCTTGAATTGGGCCCGGACTTCAATGGGAAGCCAGTAAACTAACTAAACTAACTAACCAGTTAAACTAACTGGCTGGTAATTTCTTTGATTCCACCTCCCAACACACACAATATCCTTCTGCTAAAAACTGATATAACATGGACTGTTCTCCAGTCCTTCGGTGCAGAGGTCAATCTCAGACACAAGCTTTTATTAAAAGATTACTTGAGTTCTGAGCAGCGCAGTCCTATATATGTAAGCCCCACTGAGTTCAGTGAGACATAATCCCAAGTAAGTGTACATAGGATTGTAGCCTTCAGAAGTGTTGTGAAGATGACAGCCAGACACAGTGATTTTATTGGGTTGTGGGAGAATGAAATGGAAAGAAGGAAAATTGTGCAAGCCATGTTGGGTCCCTTGCAAGAAGAATCTGATGTAATGATATGAACATTTAATTTGCTAATAATGCCTAAAATTGAGAATCTAGACACCACTATTTGCCTTAGTTCTTCAGACTCTCTTGCTGAAAATCTTCAGGCCTGTCCTAAATCTTTGGCAACAGTCAGTCAACACTGAAATTAAACATGAAAGTCTCTGCAAATTTACCTTTCACCCACTTCTCTAATGCATGAATTACCAATTTTAAAATGAATTGTTATTCCAACTAGATTGCCACCTGAGGATGCACAATGAATTCCAAACATTAAAATGCATTAACAGCATAAAATGGAAAGAAGATTGAAGCTGCTCAGTACAACTCCTTTATATGTAAAATATTTCGTCCTCAAGTGACAATAGAAGAAAATGCATTTCAGTGTTAACTACTTTCCCCCAAGCAAAGTCTAAGGGAAAAGTGTACATGCTTGCAAACATGTTGCCTAAGAGAGATGAAAACATCTCTTAATATTTGCTTTCCTTGCAATATTTCTAACTGGCAAGTTCAATCTAAGTGGTTCAGAAAGTAAGGCTTAAAATGAGCTCCTTGCTATTTCCACAGCTTGAAACTGCTCATTTAAAATTGAAAGTAGGCCTAAGAATGGTTGAGTGCAATAAAAGTTGGATTGTTGGTGCATCCAGGGTCAAAGTACAAGCTGACATTCATTAAAATGTTATAGTCAAACAGTGATATAACAATGTAGCATGTGGTAGCTTTGACTGTATAAATACTTCTCTCAGACTTCTACGATTTAGCCCCAAAGCCATCAAGTAGACAAGGAATTATGTCAGGTCAAGGCTAGTCTGAAATACTATTTGAAGGAAATGTTCTGTTAGCTAAAATAGTTTGTTGACTTTTGTTTGAGAAAGCGACCTTGTTCACATGTAAGGTTAACCCACGACTTAATTAACTAATGGATTATTAACTTAACCCTCAAGTACATCAAGTATTGATTTCCCAAATTGTTTTCTTCCATCCTGTTACTGACTCCCAGTCCACTCCCAGGAGCCTTTGCAACACCAAAGGCTGATGAACATACACACACAATGTGGGTTCGGACATTACAACAGTCCATGGCTTAACAATCCATAGCTGACAAACCAACAAGCTTTGGATTCTCTTCAAGGTTCATAATTAGTAAGCCACAGTTAACTCATGGTCCCAGATTCACATATAACACCAGCCCTCATGAGAACAGGCCCAATGATTTTTTTAAGTTACTGATTGTATAGAACATACTTTAAGTGAACAATATTTATTTCACGATAGTTCTTGGCCAATTCAATATAAGACTGGCAGAAAAGCCTTAAGAGTATTTCAACAGAGCTACACATATCCAACATCCAAAGGTGAACTAGTCCAAGGGTTTCATGATGATGTGACTTCCTATACATTTCTAGCTATAAAGCAAAGTCCTCAACACGGACAAGCACAGAGCTGCATTGTGAGAGATTAGCATTTGCTTTTTCCTAAGAAAGACGTGCTTTCTGCCTCTGTGCCTCCACACACAACCCTCCTCCAGATTCCATGCCCAACTCACTTCTTTACAAGCACCTCTAAACAGCAGCCATTATATTTTTTACTTGGTATCCATAAGATCACCCTGGTTTTAGACACTGGAAAACACTTTATTCTAAAGTAGATTCCCTGAAATCCCACTGAAAAGCACAGGACATTTCTAAGTTTAAAGTGTGACAAAGGGTTGTTTTTTTAAAATATTTGCATTGTTTACTCAATTTCACTCAAGATGGATTGGAATTAAATCTTGAAGGGCTGCTACCCTAGAACCACTCACACCCCAGTCTGGTCTTCATGATTATGAAGGCAGGCTAAAACCAGCATTGCTCACATGCTTACCAAAAGGCAGGGAAATGCAGTGTGTATTTCCACTAGTCCATAAAAGGCTTGCCTGAAATTCAGTCATCATACACTCTGCTTCTAAAATTGAATTCCACCAAGCTGAATGGGGACTGACTTGTAAACAAGGGTCAAGCTTGTGCTTATTCATTTGGGAGTAAGACCTACTGTAGTCAGATTTAACTTCCAAATCAAACATGCGTAGAACGAGCATTTCAACAGCCTTTAATTGAAAGGTGCCTCAGTGTATATCTAACAAACTACATCTTTCCTATTTTCCACACTCCTTCCTCTTCACCCTGGCTCCTTGCCGTGTTCTGTACGTCACAAAAAGTTGCCTCCACGCCATCCTCACACAGGTCTCTTTACTCACTCTTACTCCTCCCTGGATCACCTTCCAACTTTCTGCTCTTACCCTCCTCCCAAAACAGAATCCCCTGTCTTCCCACTTCACCTGTTCAATCCCCTGAGGTCATTCCACAGCATACTAGCCTCCCAAACCTATTCCTCTATATCACCCCCCTGCTGTCACTGTTATAAGTCTCATTTCTTGCTGCTCCTTTGAACCATCCATTTGTGGTGCCTTTCTATGCGTGCTTTCGTTAAGTCACAATCTCCCTGTAAGTGGCAGGATATTTATTGTTAAATGAAGGAAGGAAGTGAAGGAACCCTTCAGTACAACACCCCCCCACCCAGTGCAAGAACATTAAAAGGAAAAAAAAAAGAGCCCTGCATTTAGCTGCCTGCAGGAGCCCTCAGGCAGGATGGATAGAAGACCTCCACCTGCCCCAGCTCCTCCTCAGCTGGTGTGTGCAGAAAGCCACCTCTGGGGAAGCAGGTAGCCAGCAAGCCTAGTAGCCACGGTTTTCTGAGCCTCTTTTGAACCAGAAATGGGCGAGTGGGAAGGGATGCAGGGAACAATGAAGCGAATCATGAAAAAGTGACTGTGAAGGGACTGAGAGGACGCACTGGGGATACCGTTGTGTGGGGGAGACAAAGAAAGGAAGATTCGCTGCACAGAAAGTGGCCGTGAATTGGATTTGAGAAGTGATGGAGCGGCGGGGGGGGGGCGACCATTTGAGGCGGAAACACAAGAGAAGGGCCAGATCATGAAACAATGAATGTGAAGAGGCTGAGCAGAATTGCGGGGAGGGGGTCAGGAACGCCAAACCAGAAGGATGAATAATGGGGTTGAATAAAGGAGGGGGGGCGGAAAATTTACCATGATGTAAAGGGGACAAGGAAACTAAGCATGCCGTGTGTTAAATGGCGGGGCAAGGGAAACTAAGCCATGACATGGTGAACATGAGCCGGCTGAGGGGGCAAGAATATGGCCGGGGGGCAAGTAGTATGGCCGAGGGATGCCCACCTAGAGTGGGCGTTGGAGGAAAACTCGTCCACCAAGGCGCCGAAGGAGAAAAGGACTTTAAACCAGGACGTGAAGGATATGGAGAAACAGGCGAGAGGAACAACTGCGGAGAGGGGAGACTCCCTGATGGCGACACCCACTTACCGAGCCGGCATAAAGAAATGGTGCCCCCCATACATTATTCCTCTCCTCAGCCCTTCCGCAGGGCTCCTGCCCCCCCCCCACCCGGCCCTTCCGCCTCAGCCCCCTCGCCCACCCACTCATTGTCTCCCCGCATGCCCTCCAGCAGGGCTCACCTCCTCTGCCCCGACGCCCCTCGCGAGGCCGCTTTGCGCCCCCGGCATCCCTTCCCTTCCCTTCCCACATGCGCGGACGCAGACCCGCCCGCAGCCCCCCGCGGGACGGTGCCTCAGGGCTGCCCCCGACTCGCCTCCCGCGCCCGCCCTCACCTTGCTGCAGGTCCTGCTGGTCGTACCACGGCTCATCCTCGCGGATCTCGAACTCCTCCACCAAGCTGTCGGTCAGCATCGCGGCGGCCACGCCACCACCGCCCGGCCACGGCTGCCCGCGGTCGCCGTCCGGAGCAGCGCTACGAAGCCACGGTCCCGGCTCTCCTCGGCTCGCGCGGCTCGGCTTGGCTTGGCTTTGCTGGCTTTTCTTCCCGCCCGCGCACTCCCCGGCGAGGCGAGGCGAGCCGGTGGCTCCGCTCTCGCTCTTTTAAACGCGCTTCCGAACTTCCCCGAGCGCCTCCGGACCCGGCCGAACTCCCCTCCCTGCCTTCCCCAGCATCGCCTCCGGAGGAGGAGGCGGAGGAGCACAGCTCGAGCGGCGATCTTGCAGCGGCAACGTGGCAAGGCGCTGGGGCGGTAGCGATTCAAAACGGAGAGACAGCGAGGGGCCAATGGCGCGCCTCGCTGGGACGAGAGTACCACACTCCCCCGGCCAATCGCACGCCGGGCGCTCTCGACTTGGCCAATGCGGTGAAGGCGGAGGGGCGGGCCTTGAAGGCGAAGGCCCGCCCTCCGAGTTTTTCTACGCAGCCAGCGAGCGAAGGGTCCGGTTAGTGCTTGAGAGTGGTGAGGGAGGGCGGCGGGGTTGCGCGCGAGGGCCGTTGCTAGGGCCGGGAGGGGCGCGTTGCTGGGGTTACGGGGGAGGCCTGGTGGGCGCTGAGGAGGCGGCGACCCTCTCCGCGTCGTCTTCGGGAGAGAGTTCCACTGACTCTAGTGGGGGCTCACGTGCATTTGTGAATGAGCCTTGAAAGAAATAGGCGTGTCTGGTGGGGTCTCTCCATGGGGTGTCTTGTAACGAAAAGACCTGAGGAGTTCTTAGAGCAGAATCTAAATAGTGTTACTTTAGGTCGGAATTCCTGAGGCGCAGGAGAATTCTTTGGGGACGGCCCCGTTTAACAGGCAGAAACATGGAAGAGCCTTGGGGCACCTGGAGGACTTGGGAAGCGTTTGTGGACACAGCGCGGCCTGCCTCTAACGCAGTGGACAAAGTACACACACGCCTCCGCCAGCGCAAGAATAAATAGGTGTTAAGCCACAGGGCACCCTGTCGTCTTCACTGCAACAGATTAGCATGGCTGCCCTGCCGAAAAGGATTTCCACACCGCGAATCTGTATATGCTTCCTGGAAGGGGATGACTCCCAAGTGAACAATAGCACGATGCAGAGGGGTAGCTGAGTTGATCTGGCGAGGCGGAAAAGCAAAGGATCGAGGCACCTAGAGAGGCAGGGCGGTGTGGGGGTCATGAAGCTAATCTTGGGCTAATCACTCCCAGCCTAACACCTTGTGAGGATGCATTGGAGCTATGTGGCCAGCTCTGGGTTCCTCAAGAGGGAGAAAAAGCAGGTTATAAATGCACTGTGCTAATTGGGTAGAAAGGGGAGTTGGTGCTGCATCTGCCCTGTTTTCCTTATTATTAAAGGGTTGATAAGATAGAATTGTACAGTTGGAAGGCACCTTGTTAGTCATTTAGTCCACGCACTGGCACACCTTGCAGGATCTGCAGCATAGCATACAACTGAAGTAATGGACAGTTTAAATAACCCTGTGAAGGTGAACTCACCACCTCTAAGAACAGCTTTCCAAACTTGCTGTAGTTTTAAACTACCAGCTCCCTGAATTCAGGCCAAGCTGATGGGAGTTGTAGTCTAAAATAACTGGAGTGCGCCTAGTTCAGGCAGGCTTCCCAAAGCAGACTTTTTCACTGTCAGGTATTTCTTAATTGTTAAGAACTTGGTCTGAAACACCAGCAGTTCCTGCCCTGATTCTAGACTTGTCCTGTGGCTCAAATATATTTTGTCCTTTGTGTAACCCCATTAGAAGGGCACCTTGGATAGAGGGTCAGTTGCGTAGGCAAAAACAAGAAATATTCAATCCAGGGCACCTTAAAAGCTGTCTGATTTATTGTATCATAATGAAGGTGCACTCTCAAATAATTGTGTGTTCAGGTTTTAGCTTTTAAATTGCTTACTCAGTGTAGCTGTGTGTGCTGTTGTTCTAAGCTTTAAAGATTCCTCTTCTGCTAGCTGCACTGGAGGTGTGACATTCATATTTGTAATGCAAGTCCTTTGTAATTTAAAAATCTAATGCTGATTGCAGGATTCACTGAGACTGCAATATGAGAATTCCATATACATACTGTGCCATGATCACTAAATGTCTAGAATATGAATGCTACAGATGCAACTGACAGAAAACCTGATGGATACTGAGTGTTCTTTGTGCTAAAGTATATTTCTATTCATGCTTACTCTAGGCATCAGTTTAAATGGAGCAATCAATTGACTCTAATCAGTATCATTATGCCTTTAGTTCATTGGAATGAAATACTGCTAAAGGTCACTTTGGCCATCTGAGTAACAGATTCTGGCTTGTTTCAGTAATCATATCACCCACTATTCAAGTAAATTTAACACAATTTGTAGCGTAGGTGAACTAAATATTCCAATATTAGAACTAATAACTTTAAAATGGGGAGTGAGAGGAGAAACAGAAATAGAGGATGACTCTTTTGTTCTTCCCCTCCCACCACCCAAGCCTTAGACTGAAGATTGAAGATTTATCCTTTTAAGCTTCCCTCACCATCCCCAATCTTTTCCTGCTTGAAGACATTTTGGAAGAGGGCTCAAGTTACACATGACATGTTCTGTAACCAAGAGTGTTTAATTGCACAGATGGTATTCCAGATTTTCCAGCTGATCATAGCCCTTGCCAAATAGTAATGAGGGAGCCATGAGGACAGAACGGTTGCTGCAGTGGAAATCATTGTGGTTAGCCGGTTTGTAGGATCCACTAATGTTCAATTACGCTTATTTGCTCATGTGCAATGGATCTTTGACAAAATGTTGAGTGCGCTTGTAGCAAGCTGAGACAAGGATAAATGAGTTTGAAAATGTTGCCCTCTTGTGGATCTTGCAGAGATACAAAATTAAACCACAATTTATGTCAATTTAAAACGTTCAGATTAAGCAAGGCATCATGCTCTTGGTGGGTACTAACTGGCAAAAATAAACACAATTTTATGAACTAATTGAATATGAATTATTTAGGTTTGTAACTTGGAAAATATTCAAATTCTGCCAACATCCAAGGAATAAGCTATGATTATGATTAAATGTCCTATGCATATTCCACTACCTTATTCTTTCATCTGCTAACCTAGGCCATAATCCAGTGTACTGATGCTTATTCCTTTTCTGTTATACAGATACTTCAGCACAAAATTCCTAAATGGAGGTTCTTATTTTTTTATAAAATTGTGATTAGTTTATTTCAGAATTCATTTTAAAATATGTATTATCCTCAGTGACTTTTCAAATTATAATGTTATAGTTAAAAATTGTCTTCATGCACAGTTGAAATTCATAAAATGTTAAAAAGCCTCTGTACATTCTCTGCATCAGATCGTGCAGGACTTTCCCAGCTGTATGTATGCAGAGACACATCAGATTAATCATAACCAAACATCACATTTTGTTAACAAATATTGTCAATACATAAATTTACAAAGGTGTAATTATTATTGCAAGATTATAATAACACATCCTTACGAATTTGTTGAAGCACACAGATCAAAATGTTCAAGTGGCAAAAAGACATTTTAATTCAAACCAGTATAAGCAGTTTAAAATTATATATGCTACGAATCACTTTGAGGCAACATTTAAGCAACATTTATCTGTCTCTTCCAATGCAAACGAGAAAACAGTGGAATTATAACACCGGTTTTATGCATGCCATCAACTGTTATATTCTAAATACCAGAAAATTACTACATTTATCTAATTAATATGTATATACTGATGGGCTTCATCTGTAGTTAATGACTGTAAGTATTTTAAAAATTGGTGAAGAACAATAAGAAAGTTCCATGTATTCTAAATACCTTGTTGCAGCCCTATAGGGCAAAATTCTTGTGTGTGTTTTGCTAACACAAATAAGACCACAATAAGTATATTTATTATTAACAATATTTCAAACACTTGTTTGAAACAAATCCCAAAACAGTTTACAAAAGAATAAAACAAAATCCATATACAGTGGTACCTCGGTTCACAAACGCCTTAGTTCACAACCAGATCGGTTCACGAACAAAAATTTCAGAAAAATTTTGCCACTGTTCACATACTCTGCATGGGGTGACGACCAAAATTGCGGCGATTTCCCCTGCATGAGCACAATCATGATCGTGCCTGTCTTCCCCACATGAACATCATCACAATCGCGGCCATCCCTCCTCCGAGCACAATCGCAGCCATCTCCCCCCCCAGCACGATTGCTATCTCATGATTATCGTTTAGACTCTCCCTCCAAACAATAACCTCCCAACAATAACCTCCCCCCCACATAGGTTAGTGTTCTCTACTATACTGTACTTTGTTACTTTGTTGTTCTTTGTTACTTTGTTTCAATTTTTTGTGATTAAAAATTGAACCTTATGGGGACATTTGACTTGGCTCATGACCAAAATTGGCTCATGACCATGTTCGTAGGGGTCAGAACGGATTAACCTTATTTACATCGAACCTTTTGGGGAAATTTGACTTGGTTCGTGACCAATTCGGGTCGTGACCAGAGTCGTGGAATAGATTAAGTTTGTGAGCCAAGGTACCACTGTATAAGCATCCAGTAGTATGTTAAGGTTGTTCCAAAGATGGCTTATGAGTGGAAGAAAGCCAGAATGAGCAGGTTTTCAGTAAAACTGTAAAGTATAAAACTAGAGCAGCCTAAACTCAGGATTTACTTCCAAGTAAACAGTTACAAGGGGTGAAATACTATGCACACTATTAATTACTGTTGAAAGTAGAACTTTCAGTCTTTGAGACTGAATTACACACATTTCCATTCTCAACTTTATAGGAATTAGATCTATGTATAACTATCGGGATTTTTCCCCCCTAGGGAAGAAAAAATATTACAGTGAGAAAATGAAGTTTTTTTCAAGAATTCATCCTAATGCCTTGGCATACTCCATGACCACATTAGGTGCAGGAATGATGAATAGTATCTTCAATTTTTATTATGTTAAGCTCTTTTTAAACAAGTACAAGATCTCAGAAGCAGCGTTCCATCAAGCACAGGTACAGTAACTGTCAATAATAGTTGTAATTTTATGGCATATCTTATTGGGGTCAAATAATGGTAGATCACCATTACCAACATGTCCTGCTTTCAGTGCCTTTCAAATCTCTGACTCTCACACATGCGTGCACACATACATGTGCATACACACCCACACACACTCCCAGAACGTCACTTCTTTTTGAAATGTCAACAAGGCCTTAAAAACAACGGGGACACTTGTAGCCCCTCAGAGATGAGCACATTTATTAGCACGTAAGCTTTCATAAGGCCACTTCACTATCAAGATACATGCTTTGTTGCAAAACAGTAACTTGGCTGTTGTGCTGAAACAGAGGTCTTACTTGTTTTGAAAATAAGGAAGATTGATTGCACACCTTCAGTTCCTTTCAGTTCCCCTTTTAAGGTTATTATGTTATAGGTTGTCTGATTTGTATTTATTACCAAGTTGTTACAGGCTGCTGAGACATCTCTGATTTACGGGAACCCTATAATGAATGACTGCCCCCCATAATGCCCTTATCTCTAGTGAAGTCATGGTAGCATAGCACATGTTTCCCTCCTCTATATAATCATGCACACAGAAGCCTTTTAGACAGTGTCCCTGCCTTTTGGTGTAATTTCTTCTGAGCACTCAGGAGAGCAAATTCATTGACTTTCCTATGCTTTGTGCCTGTAAATCCTATCAGCATGTCCCTAATTTGCCCCTCCCTTCAGATGCCACTCAGCAGCCCTCTGTTTGTGTTCAAGAAATGCTAGCAGGAACTCGGGCACTCTAGGTCTTGAGGTACACAAGAGACTATGTCACATGGGGCCGGGCACATTTTTCCCGTCTGAAAGCTTTTCCAACTTCTAGAGTTTCCTGTACAGGTGCGTGCCCACTCCTTTTTTTTTTTTTAATGTTCAGGAGGAGGAACCGAGCCTGCAGGCCACAATGGACAATTTTGTTTATTGGCTCTGTTCTAATGCTGTTTCTGTTTGACTCCAGCAAATCTGACAACGTCTGGAGATGCAGTAGAGATACAGTGCATAAGCATTCTCAGACATGATCTGCAATTTAGACTAATTTTTCTGCTCGTAATCAGTTAGGAGGCTGGGCCCTCAGCCTTTCCCTTCCCTTCTGTTCTTTGACACTGCTTTTGAGCAGCCAGAGGTATCTGGCCGCCCACTATTGGAAATGAAATGCTTGACTTAAATGGAGCTGGGAATTCTATTGTTTTTCTGTGCTTTGTAGTTATTTTGTCTTCATCTTTATACGTAGGGATGTGAAATGCCTTGTTGTGGTTCAACACAACAACAACAACCCTGCTAGGTTCACATGATACAGGAAGCGGCTCTAAATGCTGTTGAAGTTAATTATGCACCCCCACCCCCATACACACAGTATGTGTATGGGATGTTCTGAAGACTGGGTTACTGCCACCATGATCCTGAAGTCTGGGTTATTGCCTTGAATAGCTTGAAGCTTACTGGGTGACCTGGGGCCAGTCGTGAGTGTAGAAGTACGAAAGCAAACCTCTTACATGGGTCTCTGCTTCTTGCAGGAAGAACAGGATAAAAACTGAATGAATATATATGCAGCGTTTTCTTTAGTTTCCCTTCTTATACCAGCCTTTCCAACCTGGATCCCAGATATGTTGCTCTGTAACTCCCATCATTCCGAGCCACTTGTCTGGCAGTCCTGGAATTGTCATCTAATACATCTACAGGGAACCTAGTTGGCAAAGGCAACTGTCTCACACTAATTTTCCCCCTTCCCATTTCAGATTTTCTAAGTTTTTGTTTCAGTTACTATTGATTTATCAATTACTTGATTATTTTAATCTTTTCCATGTTATGTTCTTATATTCCAGGTTAGTGATATGATATACTTTAATTTGTATAGACTCCTCTATGATTTATGTTGAGCCATTTAAAGTGGGGTAAAAGTTTTTAAATAAATTGTTGTTATTGCTTACGCAGGTTGTTTTTATGATATGGAATGCCATTAATGACCCTCTCTTTGGGTACATTCAAGACAACTCCAAAGCACCATGCTGCTCCAGACGTCAGGTTTCCATCTTATATGGAGCTCCACTGTACGCTTTGGCCTTTCTGCTTCCGTGGTTTCCTTGGAAACAATATGAAGAAGGTGACTGGCTTAGCGGGCTTCATCTTATTGTTGCTTTGTGCGCTTTCGATGGCCTGCTCACATTTGTCTTGCTAGCACAGTGTGCACTCTTTGCTGAAATTTCAACGAGACACGAAAGTAGACTCCAGCTTATTAAGTATAACCAAGTAGCAACCTTGCTTGGATCCACCAGCATTCTTTTCTGTGGCTTAATTTCAGATAACATGGATAACTTTACCTATTTCCAAGCGTTTACCGTTCTGGTAGGGGCAGTTGCAGCTGCGTGCATGTGTTACACTGGAATGTACAGCACTACTCAGTATGAAGAAAAGGGAGCTCTTACGGAGGGCTTTGCTGCAGAAGGTGCTGCGAGCTCTCTCTCTTTGTCTTCCGTGATTTTGCTGACCAAACAAATCATGACTCAGAGAAATTTTTTGCTTTTTGTGACTATGAACTTCTTTCAAGTCTTCCATTTGGCCTTCTGCAACAATTTCATGATGATCTTTGCAGATAACCTCATCCCCAAGGACATTCTTTCCTCCACTATCAGAAGCATCATGTACGGAGCAGGTTTTATTTGTCCTCAGGTAGGCAGAAAATCTCTCTCTTCTCTTAAAAGGAAAATGTGCTGATTCCCTGCAAATTCAGTTATCTGCTTACATCACTTGCCAAGAATAATTATGCATTACCTTGCAGAAAACTTTTATCATGTTACAGAACAAATGTTGAATGCTACTGATTGTACCAAAGAAGCTTAATTTCTCCAAAAATGCTTTGAAGAAAGCAGAAACTTGTTCCTACTTGCACCCAAGCACAAACAATAATTTCCATCACACACACATATTCTATACATTTCAGGAAACATTTTGATGCTGTTGGCATTCATTTTGGTGTTGAATGATGTAATGGATCATTTCCTAAAAGTATTTTTTCCCTTTGGGGTCTTTTTTCATTCATTAAGCCAATGATTTTTGGTATTTCTGTGTAAAGTTGAACCAAACCTGAAATAAAAGGTATTAGATTAAGAAAAGGTTTCTAAAGATCACATATTCTGAAAAACAGCCAGGGCAATTCTGTTGTATTTAGAGAAGTAGCACTCAGGTACAAGACTGGCTTTTCTAGGGTGGAGAGATTACAGTGATGAATTGTGCCTCAGTTAGTCACCTTCTGTTTCCCATGGGGTTGGCACACTTTAATATCATTTTATTATTTTTTACCTTTTAAAAACAGTTCTATTTAGCTAACAAGAAAAAAGTAAGCTTTAAAAAGTAATTAAAACACATGTACCTCTCACAGAAAAGAACCTGATTAATTGATCTGGAATTCATCACTGATCCTCCTTCCAGCCACATTGAACAAGAAGCAATAAACAGGGGCAGAGCCTGCAAGAGAATAATTAGAGATACAGTAGCCCACACAGGCCTCAGTAGTGCTTTACTAATTCACAGTAGTCTGGCTGTGCCATTGAAAGGGTGGAAGTATGCAGAAGGACAGACCAGAAAACCCTGGAGTTCAGCCATGTGTCACTGAAGTTGTCTGAATTCAACCTGTGGATTCTCTGTTTAGAACAAGGATGGGGAACGTGGCCATTCAGACGTTGGTCGGACTGCAATCTCACACCCCTGTAAACAGTAGGTGAACAAACGATGGTGATTCTAAATCAAAGGGTTAATAGAAAAGCAATCTATTGTAGCATTTTCATAGCAGAGCATAACTACCACTGCTTCTGTGGTGACCCCCTCCCAAGTCTTGGCCACCATATTTAATACCTCATTGTATACAAAATGTGTCGTTCAGTTGCTTGCATGTAAATCAACATTCTAAGACCAATAAGACATCCATTTGAAACATGTGCACCCAGTAATGTTAAATATAAAAGTTGGGGACAAGATAGAGCAGACTCTAAGGTATTTGGTGTGACGGTTGGGCAGACACAGGTATGGGAAGGATGGGAATTGGTGCTCAGTGTACAATTCTGTGTGAAATAATTACCTTCCGCGTTTTTAAGTGGATTTGTGTTAGACCATGCAATGCACCAGAACATATAGATGCAATAGACAAGGGTGTTCTGACAGTCTCGCCTACCAACATTGTGAGCTATGACGTGCCAATGGCACATTGACACACCTTTCTAATACATGTGTGGCAATCCAGATATATTCTTGTAGGATTAGAATAGCATTGTAGACTAAAGTGTGAATAGAAACATCATATTTTCATGCTGAAAGGCAATATTTTTGTTGAAATCAGTAGTTAAAAGCATAAATGGTAAGCAAACTTTTCACTGTATCAATTTTTAAATAATACATTGGATAGAAACTTCTGGCTTCTGTTGTAGCTTGATGGACAGCTAACTCTAGCCATAGTGTTTGGTGGGGTGGATCAGCTTGAATTCCAGAGGACAGCTGGAGTTACATTGTTTTCATTCCTTGTATTTAATTTAAGTGGATGTTTACTTAGTGTATAACAGACACACAGCCAAATCCTAAGCATATTTAGAAGTAGAACCTATTGAGTTCATTGGATTACTGCCAAGTAAGTTACACAGAATTATGGCCTTACATATATTTGCCTGCTGTCTGATTTCTTTTGCTATTTTTGAGACTGTTTTTATTGTGATATAGCTTTAGTAATTGCTGTTTTTCAAAGAATTGTTTTATCTAACTTAAAGGGCCTAGTGGAGCTGAAAGGCAAGATAGGAGTAAATGTTTCTGTAGAGAAGATTGGCTGGAAAAGAAATAAAGCAGCCTTTGTAAAAACAGCAGCTTAAAGCCACTGTCATTTATAACATTATACCAGACAGATCAATAAGCTATTCTAGTGATAAAATTCCTGAGTTACCATGTTGCAGAAAGGTGGTGGTTGCAATTGACATTTTGATGTGGCTTTTCATTATTTAAAGCCCAAACTATGCAACACCACAAATATTTACAATATTTCAGCAGGGGTACAGTACTATATATGTTCAATATGTTTATTTTCTGTTATATTTCAGTGCATTGTGCTCATCAGTCACACCCTGTTGAGGAAAGTTGGTTACTATAAGATTATCTTATTTTCCTTCTACTTGGAAGGAATAGCTGCAGCTATCATGTTCGTTCTAGGTCCAGAATCCTACCACCTCATGGCTTTTTATCTCACAGTAAATATGTAAGTAAAGATGCATCTTCTGTTTAGGCAGTGTAGACATTTAAGCAAAAATGTAAAGCCCATAGGTTTCCGCATGCACGATTGCAGAAGAGTGTGAAGCCTTTGATAGGTTCCACTGCCAGAAAAGAAGGACCAGAGGCAGCTGCTTTGGGCCCCCAGACTCTGCTCCTGAAAAAACATGGCAGCAGATTGGGTGCATGGTGTGGTGGCCAGATCAATACTTTACTGCTCACCGCAGGGGTAAAGCAATCATTGGGTCTAGAAAGAGTGGGGCTGGAAAGAGGCCTGGATTGGCAATAGCAGCAGAAAGCAAGCGGTGGGATTGGGCTTTCTGCCTGGATCACTGTGTTACCAGCACATGGTTGGGGGAAGAGCGCTGTTTCACTCAGTGGACTAGCCTAGGATTGCTTTGAGAATATATAAATATGATTTGTTTACTGTTATGAAAATGTAACTCATTTTTCTATTTCTTTAGGGTAATTGTTCAGGCTTCCTTCAGTTTGTTTAATTTGCCTTTGGCTGATATTATTGATGCAGATTTAAAGACACATAGACGAAGGTGGGTAATTTTTTATACTGTCACAGAAATGTTGACCTATTTTTCACTTCAGGCAATTTTACTGTTGGTAAAATCCAATAAACTATAAAGGTCTATTGAAAGAAACTATGGTAGTCTTTCGTTCTCATTCTACATGGTTAAGACCAACCCCCCCGTATTTCCTAAAACAAAATGGGTAAGTGTAGTGACCTAATTTTCTACAAGAATAAACTATTTCCTTTTCACCATGTATAGAGTCTGACCAACACTGCTGCTATATGAAGCACACAGTTCACTTCAGATATTTGTCCAACCCAGTGCCAAATATTGCAGGAACATGAGAAAGGCCCATGTGTTCAGTCCTCTCTCATGTACCAATTCCTTCTGCCATTTCTGGATCTCCTCTAATTGTAGTGTATAATTATGTCCAAATTATGGAACGTGTGACTACCACCCACTTCCAAATCGTGATTTGTAAACTCAGATCATGGCTTAGAAGTTAGCATGCACAGTCTGGGCAACATGACAAGCTGTCACTAGAGAAAACCCAGAAATGAAGGAAGGAGTCAATGCACCAGAAAGTAGGAAGCAGGGTAAGGGGGAAGCAAGGGAGCCTAAGGCACATTTTGGACCCACCAGAACATAGTATGAAAGATCAGAATGTAGCATCTAAGCTTATTTATTCTCATATTAGTAAAGGAAGTTAGTTGGTTAAATCACTAAAATCTAGTTGGCTGGTCAATGGATCTTTTTCATTCTGTGAGAACTGAAGGGTTGTGTCTAAATAGTAAGTGGGACATGCTGGCTTTCCTGTTGGTTGATTGGTTTACTTAACACAGTGGTGGGCAGACTTGAAGCATTAGGTTGTACTTTGTTTTTCACTAGAGCCCTGGGATCCCCCGGCTGTGCAAAATCTGTGCATATAATTCTGAATCCAATACTTTGTTCTGGGTATTAAAACTGAGCTGGTTCACAATCCTTCCACACAAAAAACCCACTACCAGTCACCCAGTCTTTCTTTGTTTCAGCGATATAATTTAATGCATGGGGAAGTCACTTTGTTTCTGTTGTTCTTAAGTAATGGGACATCAGAAACGTTTGCTGTTCTACCCACAGTTCGACCTGTGCATCCAGATCAACACTATGCCCACCTGGCTTACTACAAGAATAAATAACTTTTCTGTGAAATCATTTAATCTACAGTTTAAAACCATGGCTTGTATTAATGTACCATGTAACACAAATCTCTGCTAACTTTTCAGATCACCGCTTTCCTCCATGGTTTTTGGAACAAATGCCTTGTTTACAAAACCAGCCCAATCTTTAGCCCCTATGTTTGTGGTTACAATACTTAATCAATTTGGTTATGCAAATCTGAGTGGTAATGTTGCCCAGCCTGACCCAAAGTAAGTTGCCAGATCATCATTAATCTTCTATTTAAAATATATATTGGTAGCTGATTTGCTTTAAGTGTATTGCAAGTTTTAGCACTGCTTCTAAAATATCTGAAGACAGGTTCACATGAGGCTAATCACCTTTTCCATGAAACCAAACCAGGCTGACCTGGACAGCACGACATAAAGAGCCTGAAAGTAAATAAAGCTGTGCATAATGTTTTCTGGGTTGGGGACAACTAAAAAAAAATAATCAGCCTGATTCACAGATAAAATCCTCCACACAATTCTTTGCATAAGTGTAGTGACAAACAGACCTGACCAATCATATAAAGAAGGTAACTTCTTGTGCTGTAACTACATTTAGGGCTAGTTCACCAGCCTCAGAGAGTGGATTCACACAATATGCTTGGCCACCTGGGCTTATAAAACCATGTAATATAGCATGTCTGAACTCTTCATTGTGTATCAGAGGGCTTTATAAGCCATGGCTTGGAATAGGGCTTATAAGTTATCGCTGAGCCTAAGTTGTTGTTCATACCCAAACAATACAGGTATGCCCAAAAGACTTGCCACTTTTGTCAAGAGGCTCTAGCCAATGACAGCTGCCCCAAAGCACCAAAGTGCAGTTTGAAGGCATCTGTCAACAGTTCCCAGTGCGACCACAGCCACCAGCCAAAAGGGCTGGGTGAGGTGGAGGTGCCAGAGTGCCCAAACTGTGCCCAGTTGTTGCTTGGATGCAGCAGGAGCCCAAGGCTAAGTTGATGCCTTAAAGCAGGGGTCTCAAACTCAACTTACCTGGAGGCCCCTGGAAGTGGAGTCTGGGTGAGGCTGGGCCGCATCAAGTATTCCACTGCCGCGGTGGTGGTGGGCCACTCATCCCGCGGCCGGCCCGGGCGCTGCCGGCGCTTTGAAGGCCACAGGGCCCCTTCCCCGTGCCCCACCCGTCCCGGCAATTGGCCTGTGGGCCGCGAGTTTGAGACCCCTGCCTTAAAGTGTTATGTGAAGCCCGCCATCTTGCAGAGACTAACACTTTCAGAGAACACTGCAGCTTTTGTTAAATTTTATTAAAATTAAAATTTGGCCTAGTTGCATGTCTTACTGCAATTCCTGGTTTGGTTAACCCACAGATTGTCAGAGATGAGCAAAGGGAAGCATGTACACCCTCCTATGTGATTGTTGTTTCCACTTCACAGGACATTTCTGGGTTGTTTTGTCACATGCAAACCTGGAAACTCTGAATGCTAATGAGTTACTCAACTCAGCGTTAACTCAAAAATTGCCTAAGTCGTAAGACAACCTAAGAACAAGACATTCTTGGATTGTTAATTGAAAGTGAAAATGATAAGCATACAGGAGGCAGTATGCTCATTGCCTCATTCTTCCTTGGCAGTTTCTAGCTTAAACAACCCAGGAATTGGAGCATGATATGTGAACCATATCAACATTTTGTTTCTAAGAATGTCTTCCAAATCCATAAGAAGGAAAAGATATTGAAGTGCTGGAAGAACATAACTTGGATAGCTATCTACCTACCCTAATAGCCTTTGTTTGGTAATGATTGTTGAAAGTGAACATTGTAAATTCCCTATTTGCCCTCTTCTCTATCTATCCCCCCATCCCTTGAGATCTGAGGCGGAGGCCCTTCCTCGGGAACCTTCCTTGAAAGAGATTAGGAGGGTGGCTACCTGGAGGAGGGCCTTCTCTGTGGTGGCACCCTGATTGTGGAATACGCTCCCCAGAGAGGTTTGCCTGGCGCCAGTGCTTTTTTCTTTCCAGCGCCAGGTGAAAACCTTTTTATTCTCCCATTGTTTTAATTGTTAATTGGTCTTGATTGTAGTTTTATATTTATCTCTGGATGCTGTACCATTTTTTTCTTATTTTAATTGTGCTTGTTGTAAACTGTCCCGAAATGTCAGTAATGGGACGGTATATAAATGTTTTAAGTAAGTAAATAAATAAAATTTTGGATTTTTCTCCCAGTTTATTTCTAGGACTCCATGATGCCATGTTCTACATGATCTGCCTAGTTCCATTTTGCATTGCAGTTATACAGATTCTGACATGGACACCTTTTTCCATTCAGAATAGTCACCTAACACCTGTCCATTGAACTGTAAAAACATGCTTCAAGGAACCAAATATTTTATACAAAGCAACTGCGAACAAGAAGTTTGGATTTACTCTGTTCTTCAGACTAGCAGATCAGTAGCAGACCTGAGCTATTTAATGCTCATCTGTTTTTAAATCCTTTAAATCCTCTCACTCAGTGCTTTATATTATGAAGAAAGTATCTCTCATCTGGTTGCCTATCACATAATTGAAGAAATACTAGAAATCTCAGATTTGATGAAAGCAGTAACTTGTCTCTACCTCACATTCACATCCAAGAGATAATGGTATATTGGAATTCTATGAACAAAAATAACTGACATATCTTTCGGAATAGGTAAAGTCCCATTGTAATCTGCATATAAAATGAATTTAAATATCCTAAAATGTGGAAATGCTGCTGCTTTGCTGTAAACAGTAGAAAAAACGTATTTTGCATTAGGTTCTCTGTATCACTGGCAATTGTTCTGCAAAGCTCTACGTGCTTTCCCTAAATTGGATGGATACCTTATCCTTGCAGGAAAGGAAAGAAGGAGCTGTGATAATTTGGAGCCGACTCGGGAAATTTGTAAACACTGTTCAGCAAAGAGACAATATCTAGAAGCTAGGGGAAAGTGCAGCTGGAGAGAGAAGATATTTGTATATGCTCTGTAGAGAATTAATGTGCGTGTTTATAGACCAAAAAGAGTGGTCCTGACATATAGTAGCACTGCAGTTTGTTCATAGGGAAGGGATGTGGGGAAACGGGAGGAAGTACAGAAGAAGCAGGGCAGGAGGAATCCGAGTAAATGCTGACGATGGAGAGGCAGGTTATTGTGTGATGTGTGGGGCAGAAGACTTGAGGCTTTTGATGAAAAGGCTAAATTTAAAAAAAGAGAAAGACGCTTGAGTACTCCAAAAGCATATTACAACAAATGAGGAAAAATCAAAATGCTCTTATGGTTTGGGCTTATGGGGCAGTAGCAAAAATCTATCTACAGAACTGGCTAGCCTTGAATTTTCTGGCTGCTTGATGCCATATAGTTGGGATAAGCATATATAACATTGTACTGAAGCTTTCTGTACTTGATTTAAGAGAGCTTTCTGTCAAATTACTTTTATCTTCATTTCCAGTAGCTGAATACAGGATTTTGGATTTGTTCTTATTAAAGCCTTTTAGTTTTCATCTTTTGAATAGACTTTATTATTAGTGGAAAAACTAATACTTCTTGGTATGTCACGAAGTCTGAATTATGCCGTAATAAATCCCAACCATTCTATCCTTGAACCAATAAATTATATATAATGCCACTTTATTTCTTATATAAGTGGCATTTTACTTTTTTGAAAAAGCTGTCTTTTGAGCTCAGTTTGTAATTCAATTTGAAAGGAGGCTATTGAGTTTAATTCTCTTTTCCCAGAGATGCTACAAGGCAAATCTACCTCTGCATTTTCCACACCTCCTTGTCTTATATCTCTAAGCGGTTTTTACCTGTTAATACTGTTGTCTATTTATTTATTTATTTATTAGAACAGTGATTCTTCTAAATGCAGTAATGATAGGGTGGATTCTTAAATTCTGGTTTTTATTGATTGCATATATTTAAAAGTGGGCTGTTCTCAAGCAACTTAAGGCTCTATGGGGGGAAATGATGCTCCACTTGACTCTGTTATGAAACACTATTAGACGTAGAACTAGAAGTCTTGCTACTGAGATACTCTTCTATATGGAGAACGTCATATGACCATTACTTGCCTCCTCATTTTCATGCTTTCTTGGTAAATATGAAGAACTAGCTACAGATGAGCAGCACAAGATATAGGAAACACATTTAATAGGCAAGAACATTCAAAACGCTTTCTCTCATGAGTTTTCCAAGCTTGAATTAGATTGTCGTTTATTTTATGATGTCTTTCAGCACAGAGGTCAAATGTTCTGAACAAAACATTCTCCTCAAATCTAGAGGTGCCATTTAGTAGACATGACAAAGTTAACACCTTCTTTTACAGAAGTGATTTTCCCAGAATACTTACCAGTCCTTTGTATATTTTCATCTGTTTGTGTTGTTTCTAGTGGCTTTTTATATTAGAACAATGATCCTTCTAAATGTTTAGTGAAATACTGATAGAGTAGATTCTTAAATCCTGGTTTTAATCAATAGTACATATTTATAGTACTTGAGGTTCCTGTTTGGCGCACATGCCCACTTAAAATGAGTGGGAGTTGTACAGTTCAATTTGTATTTTTAACAAAATAGTAAACTCCCAGATTGTATGAATCAGGTTGGGATTATTACATGGTACGTTTGTTTGCTGAATCAAGGCTGGCGTGAGGAGTATGAAAAGTAATTATTTCTAACTTGCTTGCCTTGCTGTACAACTTTTCATGTTGTTAATTCTGATTTAATAACAAATAATTTGTTCTTTCCTGACTCCTAGTGATTTTCCTGTTTTTCCTTGATTGTCTTATAAAATGAAAAGCAATTAACTGCTCTTGTGTGCATTACGACTTCATGCCAATACTGTATCAGTTGTAGGGAAAATTATTGACTTGTTCTTGCATAATACAACTAACTAGCAGATGCTTAAAGCAAACTGCTCAGTTTTGTAAAAGTATCAGTTTTTGTCACAGAGCTGTTCAGTCTTGAAATGTGGAATCATAAGGGGCTTCTAAAATACAGAGTACCATCTGTTACCATTGAGTAAATCACAGTGGCTTCCACTTATGGAGGAAGAACATGATTTGACTTCACCCCTGAGCTCTCTGTTCAGTGCTTGTACTCAAGCTCAGCATATAAAGAGGAAAGGAAAGTCCTGAATATGTGCAAGTCACACTCTCATCCTAGCTAAAAAGTAACTCAGTTTTCTCCCTAGACATCTGGGAAATTGCCAGGGGACACTTGGAGGTCAGCAAGTGTGGGAAAAGTAGATCATTTCCCCACCCTCCATTCCTCGTCCGCAAACCCTGAAATTGGTAGGGTCTTCCACTGAAACTGATCTGCATGTGATTCCAGACAAAATGATAGACTATGCACAACATCTAACTGATTTGGGTACTCTCTACTCTAGGACACAAATGACAGCTGCTAGTTCAGAGGATTTTCAAAAGATAGCTAGGCAAATTAATTGAAGGGGAGAATTTCCTGAGGGATAGTTTGTGCTCAGTGGCAGTGTACTTCTGAATGCAAGTTGGGTATAAACATGGGTGGTGAGCACTGGTGGGAAACAGCGCTTTGCGCTAAAACACTGGCCTGATCTAGTATGTTCTTAGACATGATAGCTACTCGGAACTTCCATGTTCAGAAGTCTTCCCCAACCTCACAAGAAGAAAAAAGACTGAATACAAATCTGGCTCCCTCCAGATGCGTTAGGCTACCAGCCACACCATTACCCATCCAGTCCAACACATCTAAAGAGCAAAACCTTGGAAAAGCAAGGTCCTGCGCATCAGATTTCATTCATGCATGTATGTGTTCGCCAACCCAGATGTCCTGTAGTCACAGGGTCACTATCCCCGCCTTTTTAAACGTAGCTTTAATCTGTAGCTGTTTCCGGTGTTTCTGTTTCGACTTTCAAGTAGCTATAAAGCACCTCAACGGCTTTTAGCCGATAAGGCGGTATCTAAAATAAATGGATTAATTTGGTCCAGCGGAAATCTTCACAGCACCTTAAGGAACGTTTACACCTGGGGTGCCTCACACACGGCAAACGCAACCCATGTCTCCTGGATCAGCATGGAAGGCGGCGCAGTTGAGCTCCAGCACCTTTCAAGTGACCTACGCCAATTAGTCAGGGTACCGGGGGGGGGATACGTGCGCATGCGTGAATGTAAGACCCCCCCCCGTCTGGAAAGGGAGGAGCCCGGATATTTGCCCCACCCCTCTGCATCTGCGGGAGCGCGCACGGCCGCCCCTCGGCGACCATTGTGCCACTGTCGCGTTTGAAAGCAGCGCCCCCAGAGGCGCTGCTCGAACCGCCCCGTGATTGGCGAAGCCGGCAGGGGGAAGGGCGGGTGCGCGCGTGTCCGCGCGCGCGCCAGCGAGAGAGCGCGGGCGAGGCGATCTCGTGTGTGTGCCCGGCCATCCCGTCCGGCCGGGTTCCCCTTCCTTAAGCCTGGAGTTCCGGGCTTGCATGTATTCCTGTAATGTGTGTGTATGCGTGGATGTGCGGGCACTGAATGGGGAGCTCCGCGCTGCCTGCCGCCGCCGCTGCTTCTGCCATGGAGAAAGGAGGCGGCGGTTGCGGGAGGGGGTGATTGAGCGCCCCCTTTCTTTCCTCTCCTACCCACCCCCACAACTCCACCCCCCCATGAGACTGTGCCTGGCCTGCCTGGGTTTCTACACCTTGTCTCTGTGGGTGTTAAGGAAGAGGATGTTGTCTGGCCCTGCCAGGTACCTGAGGAGCCCTTTATCCAGGTCTCTCTACATGAATATGATGGGCAGCCACAGCCAGCCAGCCCCGGGCATCAAGGAAAACCACCAGGTATGGACCCGCCAGGAAGAGCAGCACTTGGGCGCCCCCTCCTTTGGGGGAGGGGCGGCGAGAGGGAGACGGGAGGGGTGTGTGTTGAGGAAGCTCCGCGTCGGTCGCTCCCCCCTCTCCAATAGGGGAAGCGTTGTGGGGTTCGAGGTGGCTGCTCTTATGCATGCACCTCTCACCCCTTTGGAAGGGTGCGTGTGTGGCGGCGGCGGCGGGAGGATCGTTGTCTGGAATCGCTGCAAGGGGAGTTAGCCCTCTTCTCTCAAGCTCCCTCCTTCTCCCTCCCCCCAGAAAACCCAAGGAAGAGAGAGAGAGAGAGACTCAATGGCAGGCCTGTGTGAAAGAAAATAGGGGCTCAAGCCTGAGGGCTAAGGGAAAAGATGCCTTTGTGTCTCCGGTATGTGCGTGCGTGCAAAATAAAAGAAGCGATGGGCAAAGGAGAGTTTGAGGAAGGCAGTGAATGACCTGTGTTTCCATTGCCATAGGTTAAAGGGCTTTCTTGTTTAACCCCACTGAGTGAAGCATAGGAGATCTAGGAAGAGCACCCACTACTGGGGAGAGGTGGAAATATGGGAGTGGGGAGAGGGGAAGCTGAAAAGTTACAAAGAACAGTGAAGGGGGGGATTTACTTGGAATGTGATGGAACAGGTGACCAGGAAGATTAATACGGCATGATAGATGTCTTCCTTCCTCTGCTCTGGTATATTCAGCGATACAATGGACTGTGTGATATTTCAGCTGAATGTGCAAATACAGAGCAGTGTATGTAATGTGTGTTCGAAAAGAATAGTCCCAGATAGTGACGTGTCTTTATGGCTTTTGTAAGGTGAGCTAAGGAGGCATGAGAAGTGGCTCGGGAGAACAAGGCTTCTCCCTAGTCCCTCCCAGCTCAATTGTTGTGTGTTTATACTTGTGTGGATAAGCCCCAAAGAGGGGCACTTATGCACATTTTCAGTGCTGGAAAAAATCCAGATCGTGTATTGCTGGCACTTCAAAGCTTGTTGAGGTGTAGGAAGTGGAAATAACTTTCGTAGCCCTGCGACCTCCTTTATGGTTGATTGTTGATCGGTGTGCTGGCAGTCCTCCTCTTCCTGATTTGTGCAATGCAATAGCTGTGCTTCTTTGTGCTGACTGATAGTATCGGGGCCTAATTTGGCAGTTCCCAAATGTTAGTTTGCAAGCTGTTCTTTTGTTAGAACTTATAGCAGGGTTCCTGAAGTTGATGTCTTCTCCTTCTCCTCCTAAGCTGTCCTCCAGGACTTCATGTTCCTTTCCGTGAGGGATTGGCACAGTCTTAGTGCACTCATCTCATTAACATAATATTTACTAATTACACCTACTCACCCATTTTTGTGTTGGTGCTTCCTTCTTCCTTGCCTGCATACTTGAAGCATCACAGAGCAAGCTATTGAAACACCTCCCAACCTCTACTCACCTTTCACTCTCACATCTAAAAAGGTCCCCACATTTTCTTCCTTCTACAAGGTTAGGTGTTCTTTGCATTGGTGTTCATGGCCTTGTTCATCGATCTCTCTCTCTGTCTCTCATTTGCCATTTGTCCTAAAAAAACAAGCAAGCAGGGTGAAATTGGAAGATGTCACAACTACTCATTGCATCTCTCTACTGCCTAATAGCCAAAGCTCTCTGGGTCATTTACAAAGAATAAAACCTTAAAATAGAATATTGCACAAAATATAAAAGCCATTT